TTCTCTATATGTATTTTTAAATTTCTAAGTAATCAAATTCAAAATTGGTCACCATTCAACAATTCATGATAGCTGAAAAGTTTGCTGAAGTTGATGGAGGATTTGATTGTATTTTAAATCTTCAATAACTGAATATTTTCGATAATAATTGATAGAGGTATAAAATCAATCATGGGTATCTATAAAACTATTTTATGAGAGGTAGAAGTTCTATGACAAAGTGGTTAGTTTAATCCTTGTAGTCTTCATAAGTAATTTAAAAATTTTAGCTCAAGGTGGGTTTGTTTATTGTCCATGCTTCAGTCTCACAAGGCTTTTGCACAAGGGGGGTGAGGTAATATGTTGGAAATATAAGGCCATAGAATAGGTTCTTGACAGTAATAATTATGAATTTCTATATGGGACATGGAAATATATCTGAAGGTCATATAATATAAGAGTTCATAACATGTGAAATTGAACGAAAGTAAAGGAAAATACTGTCTAAAAGATTTTAGTGATTCTCATTTTTGTCCGTGAATTTTTTTTTTTTCACTTTGAGCTTCTAAAGGTCCTATTTTACATAGTTAAGATGTCTCATGTCTAGTGTGGTTATGAATATTGATAGGTTACATTACCGAAAGATGTAACGTTAGTTATTGACATTTCAATTGGTTGTAGCTATCAGCTGTTATAGTTGGTTAGTGTCCAGATGATTTGAAACTGGACAGTCTTCCTTTCTATAAATACCTTTGTACTCTTCTATATGGATTGATCAATAAAGGCATTACAGTTTCAGTTTATCTTTGCCTTTTCCTAAAAGCTTTAGAATCTTAACAAATATGGCTATGGTACACTTTAGAAGAGTTGAGCTAGGCCCTGTCTGTTTCTCTATTATATATCAATACTATCATTCTGTCAACATCCTCTATGCCAATATTAATGAGGGTTGTCAAATGATGAGTTGTTCTGTTTCTAGCATGAACTCATAAGAGTTGCAAGGTTTTAAATTGTGATTATGGAGTTCTCAAAAACTTGACAATGCAAAATTACACTCAAATGCCACTGCAGTTGCAATTAAAACGCAGTTTTGGAGACCCCTAAAACCTTGATGCTGTGACCAAAATTGCAGTTTTGGCCTGCACTTTAAAACTTCGTAAAGAGTTAGTTGATACAAAAAACTGTGACAAAAATTAACTAAATATGACCGGTGTACTAAAAATAGATTAACATAACCACAAAGTATTCGAGTGCTAAGATGTTTTGTTTCAATTCAATCTCAAACATGAGACTTTCACAAAGGAAGTTTAGACTTTAGAGAATACTTTATGACTTTTAGGAACCAAAATTTGTTTGACCTTTAAATACCCGGCTTAAGTTCATGATTCACCTGTTTTTGTATCTTCCTTGGTGATTGTCATTTGCCAATCCAACTAAAAAATCAGTATGTTATTTTTAAATTGACGTGAGTTTTGCCACTAAGATTCCTTGGAATATATGATATTTCTTTTCTGACTAAGATATCTAACCTAAGCTGAACCATTTTTCAGGGTTTGGTTCAATCTAAGCAAAGACTGCAATGTGAAAGTCCAAATAGTTCTTCAATCACACGAGAGACAACTGCAATGTCAAACTCTACAGAAGAGAAAGCTGTACTTGTATCTAAAACTGATGATGAAACATGCCCAATTTGCCAAGAAAAGCTAGGCAATCAGAAAATGGTTTTTCAATGTGGGCATCTTACATGCTGTAAATGTAAGAATTATACGAGGAAACTTTATATCATCATTCTTTAGTTGTGTTGGAGATTTAATTAAAGTCATTTGTCTTCACCTAGTAACTTAAGCTTTTAGGAGACTTTATTCTTGATATGATTTTAGAGTTTGATCCTTGTTCATTTCATTCTTCTAAATAAATCATTGAATTTTTATATGGTAAATATGAGTCTCTGCATTGGCCACGCTTTAAGCTCAAATTAATGGGTGGTTGTGTGTAAAGGGCATCCTGTTAGAGATGTAGTGAAGTCATTCGATTGTCATTATCAAATTGCTTAAGATTTCAAGAGTTTGTCCTTGATAAGTTGTTTTGAGTCATTGACGAACTTCAGTCTGTATTACCAGATATATAGCTGCTGCTGTATTATATAGAAAATATTTTGTTTCCACTGCCTTTTCTGCATTACTAGAAAATACTGAGATATTGAATTAGCATTGATCATCTGCATTTCTCCATGCTCACATGAAACATCAGTATGCATAGTGTGTGCTCTTTCTTGTGTTACACTCATCTATCTGTGTTCAATATAGTTAAACATTTATTGACTTTGAAATAAATATTATATGAAAAATAACTATGCATATATTTTACAGGTTTATTTGCTATGACTGAGAAAAGACTTGAAAACAGCAAGCTTCACAATTGGGTGATGTGCCCAACTTGTCGGCAACATACTGATTTTGGAAACATTGCCTATGCTGTTGATTCACAGAATGAATCTTCCAATCTTTCAGTGCTGCATACAATTGACAGCAGTGACAAATGTGAAGAATCCATTAGTGTCAAAGGGTCATATGGAACTAAGGTTTTTCTCTACATAAGAACTTAAGTTATGTTAATACCCTTAAGATAGACTAGCATAATTTTTTTCTACAAGTATGCATGCCACAACCGTGGGATAAACTAAGTTTTCTTGATTCTGAACTTGCATGGATTTTACTTCTTTTTAGTGGATATTTTACTTGCAATTCCATGGCACAGTCTTGTTTAGTGTTCGAAAACCATTTCAACTATTTCAGTGTTTGTCTGCGTACAGTTTTTCTTTCATAGAGGCTTATGTCTACCATCGTTGGACTTAAAACTGGCATGTAGAGTTGATTGTGTCTCTCGGCATTTAGTTTAGACTTAAATACTTTTGACTGCATTGATTTGATATTACTCCATTTTATTTGCAATTGATGGCAAATTGATTTTCTATGAAATTAAATTTCCATAGACTAGTTAAGCTAGTAATGCAATAATGATTAAGAAAGTTTCTATTTATAATTAGATATAAGACCATTTTTTAGCTGCCACTGAGCATCTTAAGCTATTAGAGAGTAGGTTCATTCTTGTTGAATTATAGCTTATAAGACCAATGACCAAGTGGTCAAGGGTTCAATCAATGCCCCCTTTGTTCATAATTGAGTTAAATTTCAACACAAGTTATCATGTGCATTTTCCTTGCTTCAAACATAAATGCTGTGTTTCGGTGTGCTAGAGACACAGAACAATTATTAGCCCTGTTTATGTATTCAGGAGAGTTGGTCCTCGAAATAATGATAAATAATAACTTGTTATATCAATTGGTAATTTGATATTCTGATTAAACTAGAGGAAATAAGTAACTTGTCCATTATCATAAACAGAAAAATAATTTGTTTGAAGAAAAAAAATCTTGAATGAAATGAGATTTTATTTTTTACATTTTTTTCTAAATTGAGAAAAACAAATACTTCTTCCTACAAGAAGCAAAATAAACGCATCATGAGTCTATCTATGAACAAAATGTGATAACAAATTTGTTGTAGATACATATGCTAATAATCAATCTTTTAATTTTAAATCTGTGATAATACAGATTATAAATTGCTAAATAACTGATACGCATAGTTGAAATATGGTTTATCTACTATGTTAGGAAGGATTACGATCAATCTAATTAGTTTTATTTCATCACAAAGTATTTATGTTGAGGTGGCTATTACAATTTCATATTGGCAAGGGTTTAGGAAAATAGTCAGTCTATATCATCCTTGACTTGAGACAAGGATCACATTTACAAAAGAAGACACTTTAAGATTTTTAAAATTAAAATATTCATTATAAATGTGTCTAATATTTGTCATAATATATTGTTGCTATATGTCACACATTATGTTGCTTTTTTAGAAAATAAGACATGCTTTGGCTTAGTTGATTTATACTATATTCGTTATGCCGTCTATGCTCTTGTATTCCTCATTTTTTTCTGTATTGGCGTTCTATAGATTGAAGCAGTAACAAGAAGAATCTTGTGGGTAAAGGCTAATGATCATAGAGCAAAAGTTCTTGTATTTTCTAGTTGGAATGATGTACTTGATGTATTGGAGCATTCCTTTGCTGCCAATAACATTAGCTACATCCGGATGAAGGGAGGCAGGTATGATAATCTGTGCAGTTACCATTTCTCCATTTATTTGTGTATTTATGCTGGACTGCTAGACATTTTGGGTAATAAGATACAAGATAGGCAAAGAAAATATTATGACCAAGATCCCATTGTAGTTCCATTAGTCACCTAATGTTATTTTGGTTATGAATTTGAGTTCAGAAAAGCACATGTTGCCATCAGTCAATTTAGAGGAAAACAGAATGGCGCAAAAGGATGTGAGGGGTCAACTCCAAAATTTATTCAGGTGTTGTTGCTTTTAATCCAACATGGTGCCAATGGACTCAATCTTTTGGAAGCACAGCATGTGGTTCTTGTAGAGCCATTGCTCAATCCAGCAGCTGAAGCACAAGCAATCAGTCGAGTACATCGGATTGGACAAAAAAATAAGAGCCTCATTCATCGTTTCATTGTAAGTTTCCTCGAAGTGTTTATTAAGTGAGCATTGTTCTCTCTCCCTATCCGTCATGTGCCAACTACTATCCTTTTATTGTCACACAAATAAATTAAACACATGAATCGATCTCATAGTCTCGTTCTTTCATGTGTTAGGTAAAAAACACGGTTGAAGATAGCATATATAAACTTAACAGAAGCAGGAGCAATCATTCATTCATCAGTGGGAACACTAAAAATCAAGATCAACCTGTTTTGACCTTGAAGGATGTGGAAGCCTTGCTCACTAGAGCACCACTTACAATGCCAGAAAGTGAAGAAAATCATAACACAAGCACAAATCTTAGACACTTGCCACCATCAGTAGCCGCTGCTATAGCTGCTGAGAAGAGACTTAATGAACAAAGGACATGATTTTGCTTCTCTCTTTGTTCCATAGATGGCTTGCATTGCATTCAAAGATGGCACTAAACACAAATGCACTAATTTCAAGAGGCAGGAGGAGATGCAATGCAATAATCTGTCAACTCTAGATTCTTCCAACCAAAATTCTACTGTCCATATTTATAAATTTATTTATTCTTGTACATATTTTTAGATATTTTTAAGTTGAGTAGAGATTATATGATATATATATATACTATATATATACTATATATATATATCTCTCTCTTACTCTCTCCATATATACCTCCCAAATATGTATCCCAATAATTCGTTGACAAAGTGAATTATTTACTTATTAGTCTTGCCAACTAGTGTTGACGAATTAGTAAAATGGAAAAAAATTACTAGAAACAATACTTTACGGTACTCTTTTTCTCAATTTGAATTTAAAGTTCACCTACATAATGAATCTTTTAATACAAATTTTTTGACTAAGTAGATGGTTGAAGTTACACCGGCTCAGATTCTTAAGTATTTAATTTTCTGTACTGGATAAAAATGACTTTTGTCATAAGAGAAATGAAACTAGTTTAATTGGCATTTATATAATGACTTCTGATTACATAAGTACTTTGCTCTACCAAAAGAAATTAATTAAATTGAAAATTCAAAATAGACGACTTAAAATATATGATTATAATTTAATTTAAAGTACACTAGGCTTATTTTTAATTTTAAAAACACTAAAACACATACAGGAAACAACTTTTGGCAGGCAAATTAGGAGAACACTTTAGAACAGATTTGTGTTGCATAAAGTAATTGTGGCTGTTCCAACACGTGCCCTCTTTCTCTCTTGCCAAACGATGTTAGGAGGACCTCCAAAAATTTCGAAACTCTGTCACTATTCTAAAAGGATGCCATCTGTGCATCTTAACCATGGTACTGACACGTTGGTCACCGCCCCTCTGCCTCAAACCTGTTATATATATAACATCTCAACACAAACAGCCTAACATAATCCATCCAAAGTTCTCAGACATGACAGGCTCTTTGTATTTCCCTGATGCCCTCAAGTTCTCCTCTTTTCTTTCTATGAGTAACGCCTATGACCCTTTTATTCCGTATCAAACCCTTGTCTCTCCCAATAAAGTGACAGTGCCATTGGTTTTCAAGGTGAGAGGTTTGAGCTTCAAGGTCAGCACCTCTTGTCAAAGCCATGCTCATTATGTTGTACAACTGCAAGAGAATGATAATGGTGGTAATGGGTTTGTGATGAGGTGTGCAAAATGGGATTTGGAGAGAGAAGTGGAAGCTGAGATGAAACCAAATGAAACTGAGGAAAAGGGTAGGAGTGAAATGACAGGGTTTAGACAAAAGTGTGGGGAAAGAGATGGTGTTGTGGAGCAGTTGGAGTGTTTGGAAAGGGAAGCAATAATGGGTGAAGATGTGGGAAAAGAGCCTACTGATTACAACAGACGGGCTCAGATATTTGATAAAAGCTCTCAAGTGTTCCAAGCTCTTAAGGAACACAACAATGATGTTTTCCCACAAGAGTCGTCATAATAGAACAAAATATCATAATAGAAGTAGCTTTGTTTTCATTTTGTTTCCCTTGTATTTGAAATAAACAAATAGTGACCCATTGTCTTGTATCATAAATTTGGTTGTTTTGTTACATTATTGAATATCATACAGTATTTCAGAACTCTTCTTTATTTTATGTTGTGTCCTTATTTGCTTATTGAAGCTTGAGAAACCAAGCTACACATTCAGATACACCGTGTACCATCAAGTGAGTTTGTTAAGTGTAGTGAAACTGAAATCTGAGGAGAACATTGACACAGTTTAATTTATTATGTATAGTAATCCGTAACGTCGACTATATATCCTTGTGTGTAGCTTTTATTGAAAAATAAATTGGTAGACAAAATTAATTAGTGGTTTAACACCATTTAACTCAAGAACGGAGTATAGATTTTAAAGGAAAAAGAATGATAGCCTTGCTATTGTGTTACAACAATACACACATTGAATGTCAAAAAAGTGGTGCCGTTTCTCAAGAGACAAGACACCAATACACAAAATGGTTCGTATGGAAGGAAAACATATGTAAGAGTTAAATGTAAGTCTATAGTTTCATGCACTTCAAACAAATTCAAGAGGGGAGAAGAATAGTAGGACAAACATTTCTTCTAAATGGATACGAAAGATGTCATCTCCCTTTTTCTTGTCAGACTGACTAGTTAAATGGAACGTGAAAGCTGATTTGAATTACTGCCAACACTTGCCGGTTGCTGAGTTGCTGGGCGGCGACCCTTATCTGGACCACCTATGATTCCCCATCTCTCAAATTGTCTTTGTCGAGCTCGAGCTCTCTCCTTCACTTCATCAGATTTCAGTGCAAAACAGTATGGACAAGAGACTCCTTGTTCAAATTCCGGGGCTTCCATGTCAGCATCACTCACAGGCTGTTTACAACCATAGCAGAGTTTGAAAGTTCCTGGAACCAAGCCATGCTCTACAGAGACTCGTTTGTCAAAAACAAAGCACTCCCCTTCCCAGAGGCTCTCTGTCTCTGGAACCTCTTCAAGATATTTTAGAATTCCACCTTCAAGGTGATAAACCTGAGATGTTTTTAAATACAAATATGAAAAAAATCATATTATTTGTTAGAAACTAAATTGAATCTCCAGCTAGTAAAGCTCATATTCATAGCAGTAGTAATATTGCTATTTGCTTGTTTATAAAAAAAAATGTCTGCGTATGTTAAGGTGGATATTTGGATCGCATAGCAGTTCACATGAAAAAAAATGGTTTAACAGAAGAATATCAAACAGCAAAATAAACTAATTCCTAAGAGAATAACGCAGCATATGTGATATGAGATCTGCTTGTTTGGCCACAGGTCACAGCTTTGTATTCATGGCGTCTGGAGTTCAAACCAATGATAAGCTCCACTACCTCAAGACAGTCGATTTTGCACACAATCTCATCATGATGTGATATAAATAATTGTAAAAAAAAAATAACTGTCAGCGGTTAAGACAGTTATCACTGGAGAGAATTAACTTCTTTAAATAGAAGAAACAATTGTATTGTGGGGTACAGAAAATCAAGATTATTTATTTCTCTCTGATCTATCATCTCAATTCACTACACTCGGAGATTCCTACTCTCTGTTTTACGAGGTCCTTCGGTTTTATCACTGGAACCTTTATCCCATCATAATGCCTTACCCATGAAAAGAAATAATGGGCCAGAAGATAGCGTGGATACACGGGATGGCACTTCTCCCTGGTTTAGGGATTGTTTTCAAGTTTCAAGTATAAATGATATTAGGGATACAACACAAAAGTTCGCCAGCAAAAATGAATTACTTTGTTAGGAAACATATTTTATTATGAAAATGATTCTAATACCTACAAATTGCTTCCATTCCAACCTTCACCAAAATTGCATAAGCTTATTATATGAAAGACTAAACCTATTAGTGTTATTATAAGTATATTTCACAATATTTCAACATAATATGACAAAATCGGCTTTTTCCTTTACCTATTTGATAGGTTTTGGCATTGACATGTTCCAAACCGAACCAGGAATCCCGTAGAGATATTAACATATCATGACCAAGAATTATCAAACGAAAATTATGTCTATTTTTCTTTGATAAAAGGATGAAAAAAAATAAAAGTCAAATGAATTTTCATAACTCTACAATTTTGTTTAAACCAAACAATAAAATTTAAAGGGAAAATCACCTCTTTGAAACCTTTGGTGAGAAGTAGACTTGTAGCTTTCTCACAACGAATACCTCCAGTGCAATACATTGCAACACGTGGCATATGTTGTTTTTTATTGTCCATTTCTTCTTCAACAGGTTGGGCTGAATTGTTTACCTCAACTTTTGGATGCTCACCATCATATGTTTCGTCAAGTTGGAAATGCTCCTCTACCCATGATGGGAATTCACGAAATGATGTAGTACATGGATCAACTGCTCCTTTAAACTTCCCTATTCTGGTTTCATAGTTATTTCGCACATCAATAACCACCTGCACATGAGAATGTCAACAACAATGAAAATTCAGCATTTCTGGCATACATTATACCAATATTTCTTCTACTTCCCAACTTGCTATACATAAAATAAACTACTTCACTTCTCCATCACGTGCATATGAAATGGATTATCATAACACAAACAATTTGCAATCCTAACATGCAGAGATGACAAACATAAATGATAACTTTGTAGAACTAAAAATTCTACAAATTCTCAGCATATCCTTTTAAAAATAAATGATGAAGATAACCATAAATATAATATTTTAAAACTCCATTTAATTTTTTTTTTTAAATTACAATAGTTTTTCTCCATTATAGCTAAACTCCATTTAATTTATTTATTTATTTATATTGCAATAGGTTTTGTCCACTATAGCTGTAAAACCCATGGTCTAACTTTAAAGCCGTTTAAGAGTGGTCTCCAGCAATGGAAAACAAACAGATATTTAATATATTCAATGTTGGAGCAGCTAGACTATTCAATATCTCAAGAAATTGAAGCTATACATTTTAATAATTAAGTCCCCATAGCTTATTAGATCACATAAAAGACGAATGCTCAAAATGAAGATACGAGAACGATGATACTAAGATATTAACAACTCACTGTATCTGGATCACTAATCAAAGCATTCCACTCTTCTGGGCCAACATACTTTCCAACCCTTTCAATAGGGGACACAGTAGGCATCCCAAGAGTAACAATCTGTAAACATACAACAAAAACAAAAGTCTGTAAGTTATTTGCATATAAATTAAATTCAAGCATTTCATTCTACTGGCATTGCAAACACACCTCTTTCTTCAACTTGACCCTCACATGATCCCATCGGAAGGGTGCATCTTCCCCCGCAGCAAGAGGAGAAGCGGGACTATGTCCATGATGGATGGCCTCATCCTCAGGACTGACAGGTGATTCCGCTTGCCGTAGCCCCTTCAATCTATCATCACTTTCCACAAATGCAAGTACATCCTGCACCGAATCGGGAGTCCCACATATGCTGCCATTGATCCCTTCAGGCGCAAGAATAATTCCACCTGAAACACGCTGAGTAGCATCAGATGGGTGAGACACCACATCTCAACAATACCAAGTGAACATTTTGCATAAAACTCACTCTATTAACATCACACCACCGTCACATAAAAATACAAAAGGGGTCAAGGTTCTGTATTATGAACTAACTCTAACTGAAACAAACTAATTCTGCTATGAAGTTGATGTGACACTTGGACGAAAATACCAAGTATTGATGTTAAATCAACTCCTATGTTATAGATTATCATATACACGAGACTCACTCTCTCCTTAGTCCTTCAATCAGAGGTTCTTAATATTCTTCCACTTATCTCTTTTGGACACACGATTGACATAACTAGTTAAAAAAGCTTCTCTCTCAACCATCTCAAACAAACATTAATTTTTGTATATTCGATCTTGTTTCAATCCATCATTTTTATTTCTGTACATAAATTAAACTTTAATATTTTTAAAATTGAATAGTTAAAAAAAATATATATATGCAAACTACTATTAAGAAATTTATCTACAAATGCTTGTAATAAATTAAGGTAAAATAAATTCAGCTTCTTACATAAGCTAAAATCTATCTATGTGCATGTTAGGAAATGTTTAAACAAGCTTCAAAAATAAATATGAAATTAATTTTTAAAACTATTTTGTAGAAGCTCTCTCTAGTTACTCTAATATATTTTTTTTTTTAACGTTTGTAGAAACTCATTTTATCTAACTTTCAAAAGCCAAATGAATAGTTATTTTAACATTAATGCATTTTACCTTTTCAATTTCTTCGCTGAACAAGTTTATCTGCAGTCTAAACTATTCACTAAGAATTTATGCAGAAATCAAATAGTTGGCTATCAAATCAAAGTACCGTATATATTTTTTCCTCTAATTTGGTGAGAGTAAACAGATAAAGTGAGTACCAGGCGTTGACAGAGTTGCTTCAAGGGGTTTCGCATGAGAGCATGGTCGGGGAAATCCGCGAATTTGTAGAAGGAAACCACCATGAGAGGGGATTTGGGTTCGGGTTCGGATCCGGATCCGGATCCGGATGGGCTCGGAATGGGAACGGTTGGCCCAGAGTGAGAGAAGCACTTGGAGAGCGTCATGGTTTGAAGAGTTTGAGAATTGAAGAAGAAGGAAAAACGGAGGAACCAAGGTTTCGGGGTTGCAGAACACGATAGTGTGGGTTCCAAGGCAGTAACGGAGGGTGACGATGAAAGTATCGGTGACGGTGACGGTGACGGTGACGAAAGCCTTGCACTGAGGATGAGTAATGGTGGAGGAGGTGGTGCTATAGTTCTGCCTCTCAGCATGGAGACTGCGTTTGGATGTGCTTCCATTTCGGTTATTTTGTAGGGAAAATGAACAAAGCCAAGCTTTTCAACCCAAATGTACAACCCGGGTCGGACGGCCCCGGCCCAAGCCCAAGTCCATGTGGGGGTTTTCTACTTAATACTATTTTCGTCATTCATTTCCTTTCTATATTTTTTGTAAGAAAAAAACTAATTTACTGAATTTAATTTAATTGTACATTGAATAATCATACTTATTAGTTAAAATAATAACATATTATTGATAATTCAAAATAAAATATGACAAAAAATTAAAATTAAACACTTAATTATTTTTAAATTTAATTATATGTTTAATCCATTAAATTTGAATACATATATTTTTATCCCCTCAAGTTAAAAAAGCTATGTTAAAATTGTTTTAAATACTAAAAATAAAATAAAATAATTAAGTCCTGAGTTTATCCATAAAAATAATTTACTCGTGAAATGATTATTGAATATACATTTTAAAAAAATTATTGTGTATTTTTATTTTTTATTTTATTATTAATAAATGAAGTGATTTTAATAATTTGTTAAAAGTGAGATAAATTGAGTAAAACTAAGCGGAGAAAAGTTTTGATTAAATAATATCATAGATGTTCTGAAAAAAAAAAAGTCATTAATATCTTTCATTTGAATCAAAATTATTATACTTTTAACGAGTAAAATAGATTCAAAATTCTCATAGTCACAACCTAAAACCATCTTTAAACTTGATTTTCATCATTAAAAATTGCTTTTTGCTTCGTTATAATTGAATGTAATTAGATGCAAACTCAAATAAACATTTGATTTTTAATTTATCAAAAATTTATTTCGATTGTTTGTTCTTCGCATGCTTAATGTTTGTATTAATTCCCCTCTAACTCATTCAATTACAATTTGATTGGTAATGAAAAGAGTTTTTTAGTCTAAAACGTGGCTGAAACGCCTTATTAAAATTAATGGTGGAAATAAATTGATTTTAATTAGATATCTTAATAAAAATCAATGGTACAATTGTTGTTGTTGCACTACCAAAACAGATGATTTGCAATCAAGATCTGCAGAAGCAAGAAAATCACCTACGAGACCTAATTCTGAAAACTCAGTCCATTCATGAAGTCCCTTTGTTTGAGGACAATCAATACCATGGCGTCTCCCAACTATAAAAAAGTCATGATCATCTGTCATTTGACGAAGAATAGAAGCTATGTGGGCACCACCCTCCACTGTTATTTCCTTAAAAACAACATTTTTCAACCTTGAACATTCTTTTTCAGCATCTTTCAATATTACGCGATCAAGCATACTCTCCATGTCTTCAATTTCTTCTCCATTTTTGCTTGTAATGTGATATACCACAAGGTTAACAATACCAGAGTCTTTGGCTGCTCTACTGGCTAAGCACAAAGCCTCTCTATCGTCGTTTCCACCCAAAAAGATCATGGCTAACCGAAGTGGTGAATCTTTTGGATGAGTTGAACGAGTCACTAATATTCCAACCGAGCATGGAGCTCTCTCCATGACCCTACAATTCAGTAACCTCACTGTCTTGTCCTCGTGTTCAATTTTTCCATCAAAGGACCATTTTCGATGAAAAGGAAGAATGATGATCGATGCAACTTTATCCAATGCAAGGTAGCACACGTCTTCGTGCATTAGAGTAGGTGGAGATATGGCTGTATAAGGGTTTATTGATGTTGCACCTAACTTTTCATCTTCATAGATTTTGAAAGAAAGAATGATATTCTCGGAGTAAGAGTTTCTTGTGTGAGAAGAAACATCTTTCTTCTTCCTATGAGAAATGAAAATAGGGGTGGAGCGCCCTACTAGTTCAATTAGATGCAAAACATCGACAGTGATTGGATATAATGGTGTAGGATTACACAAATCAAGAACTCTGATGATAGGTATTATGTGATGCTGTTTATGAATGCAAACTAGCATTCTGAGATTTGTGTCGAGTTTTAAATTGAATATGTTCCTCTTCTGCAAACCAAAATACTTCCTTGAAGGGTCATACAACCGTTTCACTGTCAAGTGAACGATGCTATTTGAGATCATGATCATTGTTACAATCACCGTATAATGTGCTGGTTGAATGTCCTGTATATAAAAAATGGAAAATAAAATTTAAAATTTGATAAACCATACACATAATCTCTTTGAAAAACAAGCTAGAAGCATTTTCCCATAGAGAATCTCTCTAAAACTCATCTACCAATGTAACCAAACAGACTCATAAGAACTATCTAATGAGATCATGAGATGTTAGAAGAGTTAATCTTGACATGTTTCTTTTAGACATGGATAAATAGATATGTAAATAAATAGATAGGGGGAAGAGGAATACTCTTTTGTCCAATGCAGAGCTATACATGGCTACTTCCACAACACCTTTGCAATTTAGAAGGAGGGCAAGAGCCAGCGCATCCCTTCGTGGTAGCTTGAAATAGAGTGAGGATGCTATGTAAGCTATCATTTTCATTAGATGACCCGAAAGGATGATAGTGGTAGTGCTTATAATTATGGGTGATGTGAGCTCTACCAAGGAATAATTCATCTTCATTGCACATGTAGTCACGAAGATTGGCATAAGAAATTCTAAACCAAAAAAATGAATCTTTTTAATCAATGAAGATCCTAATGGAGGTCCATCTGGTGTAGCCAATCCATAAAGGAAAGGTAGAAGGATGAACTCTAGATTGAAGAGCATTGAACACCAACCCAAAACAAAGAGAAACCCAATGACAATGTTAATGTAAATATCCTTCACTTCTTGACTTTCTGGTGTGTGCTCAATCACCCAGAACATTAACGGACGATAGACAAAGAAAATGAAGATTATTAGGACGAAAATGAACACCAATTTTACACCAATTGCATTCACCTCCTTGTTTTTATCAAAGACTGCAGATGTAACTACAAGTATATTACTTAATGTGTCACCCACCAGTGCAGAAGATAATACCAATCTTCCGAGTTCAGAGTTTAGGATTTGAAGGTCATTGAGGACGGAAGCAATCACTGCAAATGAATTCATGTTCTGTGTCATCAATATAACAACAGATGAATGCGCATTTTCTGGTATATCCCGGGTTATAATTGCAGAAATGCATCCTATAGATGAATAACCCATTAGTAGAGGAAATAACAACCCTACAAGGGCAATGATCCATCCAAGTCTTCCTGTTCTGGTGATCATGCTAAAATCCATTTTTACACCATTCTCAAAGACAAATAGCATATAACCAAGTGATGCTATTGTAGCGAGTGTATCTTGACTTCCATAAGGAAACATCATTGTCTTCTCTTTCTCCAATATGTTCAATGATGGTCCTATAATGAGCCCAGCCTTCAAATAAAGATAATTAACTTGGTTAGACATATTGCAGTTGTTGATTAATCCAATTCAATTTAAAGATAATTAGAACTACGAATCTATAACCATGGAACTAATGTTCTTAAGAAGGAAATAAAAACAACAGATTAAACAGGTCAAAGTTCTCACGTATATATGACAGCAATATCATTTGCACTATGTTAATTTTCCTATTTATTGTATGATTTGAGATTCTATAACTATCTTCATAATAAATCAATCATTTATAAGTCTCCTTATTGTTCTTCAATTGCAACAACGGAATAAGGAAACCAAAGTTTTAGTTCAAACTTACCATCAATTGTGAAATCATAGCAGGAAAACCAAACTTCTTCAAAGGGAAATGTAAAGCTCGTGTTATAGTATAAATTAAAACGACTTGAAGTAGAAAGACTGGCATAGATGACCTTAAAGGTGACCCTTCTGTGCTATGTCCTCCCCATAGGCCATCTGATGCAATCTGGGGTGGAGTCTGAAGGCAAACATCACATTTAACAGTGTGTTCAGATACATTCATCAGATTAATTGAAGCAAACAATTGATTCATATCCATCTCACAAACTCAATCCAATCTTACGAAAAATTCAATAGTTGATGAGAAAGATAAATGGAATGAGTGAATGGACAGAATGTGAACAAACATCAAAGATACATATACATATTATAATTAGAACTAGTTAGAATACGATGTTAAGGACAAGAACAAATGATTAGCTTATTGTTTTGTTGTAAGTGTGATCAATTTTATGGTCACGATGATGAGCAACTAAGATAAAGAAGACAGCATGACAATTAAACTAATTTCAGACAGTTATGAAAAAGAAGGGCCAATATTAGAAAGGACAAATAGAAACTAATTTATAGTAGAGAAGCGGTTAATGCCAGAAAAAATGAACTAAAAGTGATCAATTAAGTGACTATATTAGAGAACACATGACAAATGGTCTAATATTTATTTAGAAGGCCATTAGAAAAAGTAAAAAAAAAAAATTGATTAGTTTTTGAAGTAATAAATTATAATTATTATATGAACTCAACTAATTATAGATATGAGATAGAGTTGTCAAAACAGTTAAAGTCTAGTATAATATGAGGAGAGGTCATATGGATTAAGTCAAAATAATAGATGATCTAATCTTACTTATATTTTAAAACGGATAATTTTTAGTATAGTTTGTCTTTATGTTAAGTTAATGAACAAATTTTGACCTAATTAAAAATTAAAAAATTATTATATATATATATATATATATATATTTGCAAAATTTAAGTTATATTAATGAAATTGATTTTAATTTAATGATTTAATATATAAATTGTAAGAACATCTTTAATGAGAGTTGTTTTGTGAAATGCTTAAATAAAATATTAGTTGCTTAAAAAAATTTATTATAGAAATTTTATATGATATGATAAGTTGTTTAATTTTTTTTATAATTATTTCATTAAATAACTTAAAAAAAAAGGAAATGAAGAAAGAGAATAATTTTTTTAAAATTTATTAAAATATTTTCTATTCAAATAAAATAAATGATAAATTGATTAAGAATGATATGATATATCAAATCTATATTTTATATTTTTAAAGATTAGGAACATGAAGATATTCTATGAGAAGAACCATTTAATCCAAAACAATAGTTAAAAATTCACTCTTCATCTAAAATAGTAATTAATCTTGTTTATTAGCTTTTCAGAATAAGTGATTATTAGAGACTTTTAAATTTATTCATAGAACAAGTGAGTCTCTTGTCAAATTAATTTATAATATATATTTATTTTTTAATAAAATAATATGCTTTTAATTTGTACATAATATCCCTTGTCATTTCTATACCTTGAGGAGAATACAACTTCACAACAGCCACAACATCTTACTATTATAAGATGGTTTAACAGCCTTGCTTGGCATCATGACTGAATGATCGTACACCCACATGATGATGCTGATATCTTAGATGCACGGCCCAGAAAATAAAGCTGGGAATTCAAAGCTCATTCATCAATTACTGAAAAAACATTCAACAATGTTGACCAGTACAGAAGTGATCAGGAGAGCATCATTATATTGATTGAAAGGGGATACACTGGTTAATCAAAGTGCTTCTCCTTTGTATTGATCCTTCATTGCTCACTGAACCAAACTCTATACCCCGAAGGTTTTTTCATTCCCTTTTTCACTAATCAACCTCTTAACCTCTTGTGCATGCTCCCATTTACCTTTTGATGCATAAGTGTTTGCTAGAAGCACATAATTTCCAGAATATTGTCAAAGACATCGCGTGCATCACTTATACAGCCCGATTTTGCATACATGTCAAGGAGTGCAGTTTGCACAATCTTGTTTCCAAGAAACCCTGCCTGCACCTGGCATGCACTTGTGTTCCTTCAAACAAAGCCCGGACTCACCCACATGCGCTTAGTACAGAAGAGAAGGTGCACACAGATGGAAAAACCCTATTTTGATGCATTCTAGCATAGGTAGAAATACAATGAAGAATATGGGCATGATGAGATAAGAATGCACGAATAAGGGAGGTCCAAAGGAAGCTACTGGGAAATGTGGCATTGTGTCAAACAGTTGGTGGGCATAGCAAAGATTGACGTTTTCACCAGTGAAATGGAGAACCTGGTGTAATAAACGAACCCATGAAGTAATGATAATGATGGGGTGGTTGTGGAGTGAGGAGTTTGAGAAAAAGTGTATGGATTTGTTTCAGATGATCAATGGTTTCGGCATAGTTGAGCGATTGCATTACCCAGAGCTTAACATTTGTGGTTGGGCTTTGGTAGAATAATGAAGTGGAGGTTCTCATGTTGAACTTGGGTTATGTTCTAACATGCATGCCTGAAACACCACCATTTCATTACTAGTGGTATAGATATTATTAATATTTCTAAAATGATTTTCTTTTCTTTTCAGAACAAGTAAATCAATAGACAAAAGAAGATATTATTAATATTTCTAAAATGTTTTTCTTTTCTTTTCAGAACAAGTAAATCAATAGACAAAAGAAAATAATATAATATATTATTAAATGGGTTTGTCTAACGGATATATTTTATAAAATCGGTTGTTTATATACAATTCTCCGGAAACAAAAGTAGAATTTGTTTATATATAATTCTCCGGAAACAAAAGTAGAATTTATTTAAAAGATAATACAACCTATTTATTCTCATCTAATCAAATAACAACTATTTTTATTAATATAATAATCATATTTATTATTGTATTGATTTTTCTACTATATAAAAATGCATCGTTGTGAAATATTCATAACTTTATTAAAAAAAAACTTTATGAACATTATTATCATGAACTACAATAAAATAATATAAATTATCAAAAATAAAATTAATTATTAATATTTTAATCAAATTTAAAATATTTTTCATAAAATATTATCTACCAATTTTATCAACCAATTCTTTCTTTTTTTTAATTTTAGAAAAAGACAGAGTCCTCACATTGTCATCATTTTTCAAATAATGGGTCCAAATCAAATGCACCTCGTTAATAAAATATTAATAGAATATATGTTACTTGAATATGAAACATTTAAAATTAATTTTAAAAAAATAACTTATAACTTTTAAACGTATAATAAGAATATTAATTATTCTATTTTGATTGTATTTACATATTTTATTTGTATAATATACTGCACCAAGCTTACACCAGAGCATAAATTTGGTTTTTGAAATTATATATTAATTAAATTGATCTTAAAATTATGAATGAGAACAATTTTTTTTATAATTTAAAGAATTAAAAACTGAAAAAAAAACTACTTATCTCTTTTGAAAAAAAGAAATAAGTTTGAAAAAAAGAAATAAGAAAAGTTAGGATTTATTCAATATAAGTTTATCCGTTGAAATGGGAAAGAAAGTAAATTAGAAAAAAAAATTATTATAAGAAGACCAGAAACAAATAAATTTGTTTTGAAGTTTTATGCATTTTTTAAGTATAAAAAAAGTATCTATATTTTAATTATATCCATGAATGTTATCATCAAATTTTACGGAACAAATCAATATGCCAATTTTTTAACATCTTAGAAAATAAAATTGTTTTTGTAGAAGATTATATGCTTTCTCAGCTCACATCAATCACTCTTTACAGCTTTAATGATCACTTAATTGTTGACAAAGTTTGGTCATACATATATATATATATATATATATATATATATATGATATATAATTTAAATATGTTAGAGATCATTATTTATTAAGCTAAATAATAAAGTAATATGACTAAATTAAAAAGTTTGACTAAAGACATAGGTCATGAAAATAAAATTATATAGAGACCATAGAACAATTTCTAATTTGATGAGGGGCCAAATTAAAAATACTAAAACTTAAGTAATTAACCTAATTCGGTTATTTTAAAGGGTCATGGTCCCCTTCCGGGAGCACATGGACGAACGTAAATTTCATTCACTGTTCCTTTTTTCTATCCCCATCAAGAGAGAAAATCAAGAGGGAAATACAAGTGCTTCTTCGGTGGAAGACCATAAGATCAATATAGTGCTCTACAAAGATATCATCATTATGGCTAATTCGAGTACGCTTTTGCATTCGAGTTTACAACATGTTTATCAAGTATGAGATTACGTTTATGTTTGATCGTTAGAATCAAAATCAGGAATATTATTATTATTATTATTAATTTTCCAACAATTAGTATTAGAGCAGACTCATATTTGATTCATGTCATGTTTAATTTATAGAACCCTAATTATGAAAAATAGGATTAATTTTGTTTTAAACAATTCAAATTACCCAATTTTATGAATCCTAAGTGGAGAATTATCTCTAATTTTCGTGAACCCTAAAATCTAAATTTGGGGGTAACATTCTCAATCTGATTACGCTTGCTGATGGAACAGTGGAGGAAACTATGGATTCTTCTTCTTCTTCGTTTTTCCCTTTTGTTTCGAGTTTAAGTTTCAAGTTTTACTGAGAAAGAAATAGTGTTTCAAATTTCAATATTTCTTGTATTGAGTTCTCTGTTCTCTTTGAATCTTTTGTTTTTGTTTTTATTTAATTTTATGGGTTTTTGTTTTCGTTTCCTTTTCATAGTGAATATGGATGAGTTTGGAATTGGGGGTGGTGTTTGGGGAATTCCCAACATAGAAAATCTTAGGTAAATGGTAAATGTTTCCACAGATGTGACTTGTTATTATTTTATTGCCTTTAGGAAAATTTGATGTTAAATTCCCTTGTTTAGGGTTTGAATGATTACTTGTTTAATCCATTTTAGGGTTTAGAGCGGTATGCTAAAGAGACTCGAACTATCTCTGTTTCATCCTAGTGTGATTTTAGGAGATGTTCATCTTTTATGTATTGGTGGAAAATGAGACATTTTTTCATCCTTTGATTTGTTCAAATGAGGTGTTCATCCCTAATGAGATTCTAGGGAGGTGTTCATCCTTAGTAGAATTCTAATGAGGTGATTCTCTTTTGAATTATTTTGCAAATATTAAATATTTGGTTTTGTTATATAAATAAAATATTTAATTTTTTGGTAGTTTAATATTTTTTATGAGCAAATTGAGTTAAGAAGTCACCAAAGTAACCTCTCTTGAATTGGGCGAGTTCATGAAAAATATTGAATGTTAGTGTTTGTGTATATTCATGCGAGTATTAGTCGGCCCAAAGGAAGATTAATATTTGGTCGAATTGCATACACACTTGTAATGATAAACATGTGATAATTATAAGGATTTGTTTTGTCGATGATAAATCAATCCAAAGAATGGTTTGTTGTTGGACGTGCTTTATTGTCAATGTTTGATTATTACAACAAGATACCTCTAGTAGTTAATATTCTTGTCCAAAGACTTGATATTGATGGTGCATTGGGTGTCTTGAGATGGGTTAAACCACTTATTTGAATATATATTATTTATTTTTTATATAATGTGAGCATAATTAGTTTATTTCTCGTGTTCTAAATTCAGCTACAATTGCTTACGTATCCGCCAATTTAAATTTTGTTACGGTCCTCAATGGAACAAATTTTAAGGATCTGGAAAGAGAACATTGATATTATTCTTGGTTGCATGGATATGGATCTTGCGTTAAGGACTAAGCAACCCCTACTCCTACGGATTCAAGTACATATGAACAGAAAAGAGATTATGAGAAGTGGGATCGCTCAAATCGCATGAGTCTAATGATCATTAAGCGCGACATCCCGAAGGTGTTTAGGGGCACTGTTTTTGAAAACATCACAAGTGCCAAAGAATTTCTTGCTTGAAATTGAGCGGCGCTTTGCAAAAAGCGATAAGGCGGAGGCAAGCACTCTTCTTCAGAACTTGATCTCCATGAAATATCAAGGCAAAGGAAATATCGGGGAGTACATTATGAGCATGTCTAATATTGTTTTTAAACTCAAGGCACTAAAGCTTGAACTCTCGGAAGACTTGCTCATTCATTTGGTGTTGATTTCTCTTCCTGCAACGTTTAATCAATTTAAGGTATCTTACAAGCTGTCGGAAGGATAAATGGTCTCTTAATGAGCTCATTTCACATTGCGTACAAGAAGAGGAAAGACTAAAGCAAGACAAGACAGAAAGTGCTCATTTTGCAAGCACCTCCAAGGCTAAAGGCAAAAGAAAGAGATCGAGAGGATCTCGAGAAAGAAAGCTGCTAAGGGTCGAGAACAAAAGAAACAAACTCAAGAAAACAAATGTTTCTTTTGCAATAAGACTGGACACGTAAAGAAGAAATGTGTTAAATATCATGCTTGGCGTGAAAAGAAAGGGTTGCCTAAACTACGGAAGCCAATTGATTCTGAAAGATGGATTTATGTTGGAGATGACAAATCGGTAGAGGTGGAAGCTATAGGGCATTTTAAATTGTTATTGAGTACTGGTTTTTTTATTTGGATTTGAAAGACACTTTTGTTGTGCCGTCATTTAGACGGAATTTGGTTTCAGTTTCTTATTTAGACAAATTAGGTTATTTGTGTTCATTTGGAAACAATAAGTTCAGTTTGTCTTTTAATTCAGATATTGTTGGAACTGGTTCACTTTTGATTTATGATAATCAGTATTTACTTGATATTGTGGTCACCTATAATGAAACCCTTAATACAGAATCACGTGGTACTAAACGTAAAATTGAAAATACTCACTCAGGTGCATTATGGCACAAGTGCTCAGGTCACAATCAAATCGTGACGTTTGGGCTTGTGTTACACTCTTAAAGATATGGTAGAGAGTATGATTTGTCATTCCACCTTACTGGAATCACTTTGGGGAGAGACACTAAATACGACAGCTTATATTCTAAGCGAGTACCAACTAAAGCAGCTACCAAAACACCTTATGAGCTTTGGATTGGGCGACAACTTAGTCTGAAGCATTTCCATGTGTGAGATTGTCCAGTTGAGGCAAGACCTTATAAGCCAAATGAAAAGAAATTGGACTCCCGAACGAGTAAGTAGTTATTTTATTGGTTATACTTGAAAGATCTAGGGGATATAAATTTTATGATCCCACATTAAAGATAATTTTTGAGATGGGAACTGTTACGTTCTTTGAGGATATTGAGTTTGGAGGGAAGAATAAGATTAAGAACTTCATCTTGGAGGAAGAATCGGTAACAATTTCAGAAGCCGATTCAAATAGTTACTTTTGATAAAGTAAGTTCGGAACCTCCATAAGGCATTGTTGATGAACCCCTTACTCAAGATGATTTGGTTGTTCATGAAGAACAAACTCAAGATCCTCAAGAACTTGTGCATCATGAGCTAATAACTTTGTAGAGATCCACTAGAGAAAGAAGAAGTGTTATTTCGGATGATTACATAGTATTTCTTCGGGAACATGAGGAAAATAATGATATAATGGATGATGACCCGAGTTAACTTCAGTCAAGCTATACAAGGTTCTAACTCTCAAAAATGGATTGAAGCAATATGAGAAGTATAAGTCCATGCAAGATAATAAGGTTTGGGAACTTGTCCCATTACCGGAAGGTATGAAACTCATTTGACTTCAAGATGAATATTGTTGATGATTGTGTGTATCACAAGTTTAAAGGGAGACAAGTTTAGTCTCAATCGAGTGCTCAAAGGGAATTTGGAAATTGAGGAAATGCAAAAGATTCCCTATGCATCGGTTGTAGGGAGTTTGATCTATGCCCAAGTATGTACGCATCCGGACATAACATATATAGTTGGGGTTCTAGGTAGATATTTAAGTAATCTAGGAATAGACCATTGAAAAGCAGACAAAACGAGTCATAAGATATTTAAAGAGAACAAAAGATTATATGCTCACATATAGGAGGTCGGACCAGTTGGAGATCGTTGGGGTTTCTTACTCGGATTTTACGGGTGTCAAGAATTTGTAGCATGATATGAGCATCAAATCATGGAATATGGCTGAGAAATTTTGTCACAGGGCTGCAAATTGTGAAAGGCATTGAAAGACCACTTAAGTTATATTGTGACAATAAATCGAGTTGTATTGTTAAGAAAAGAGTACAAAGTGGACATGATTTTCATAGAACACTTAAGGACAAACTCCATGATAGCATATCATCTAACTAAAGGACTTCCGCCCAAGGTCTTTCATGAGCATGTTGCTCACATGAGTGTTTTACGAGTTTGAGGAATTTGTGGTTTAGTGGGAGTTAGTCACTTTCATATATTTTATGTTTTATGTTTAATTTCATATATGTATACATTGATTTTTGGACATATTTGATTATCTATAGATATGCGATTTTTTCGTTCATTCATTACACTTTGTACATTAAGGATATTATATCAATCTCGATAAGTTAAAGTTTGGACCAGTTGAAAATAGACGTGTACAGATCACCTTCACGTAATTTTTCATGCTACACATTTCATGATGAATCCATGTCATTTGGTTATGTTAGGATGAATAATCATTGTTGGTTTTAGTTGTGATGATGCAATGAAAAACTGGTTTGGTTCTATATCCTGATATGATTAATGAACAGGACTTTTGAAATATGTTAAAGGAATATACTAGCAATTTTAAGCTCATAAAGTCTAATACATTTGTAAGGTTGTAAGGACATATATATTTATGACCGGTGGGAGATTGTTGGCAAATTTTGGGTCATGTATATATATATGATACATAATTTAAATGTGTTAGGGTCATTATTTATTAGGCCAAATAATAAAGTGATCTGACTAAATTAAAAAGTTTGGCTAAAGACATATGTCATGAAAATAAAATTGTGTAAAGACCATAGAGCAATTTCTAATTTGATGAGGAACCAAATTAGAAATACTAAAACTTAAGTAATTAACCTAATTCTGATTATTTTAAGGGGTCATGGTCCATTTCTGGGAACACATAGACAGAACGTAAGTTTCATTCTTGTTCTTTTCTTTTTATCCCCATCAAGAGAAAATCAAGAGGGAAATACAGGTACTCTTCAAGTGGAAGACCATAAGATCAATATAGTGTTCTACAAAGATATCATCATTATGATTAATTCAGGTATCATTTCGCATTCAGTTTACACAATGTTTATCAGTATAGGATTACGTTTGTGTTTGATCGTTGAAATCAAAATAAGAAATATTATTATTATTATTATTATTATTAATTTTTCAACATCATGGTTGTCTTTCTCTTCTTCTCTCTTTCGCTAAGCCCCTTCTTGCAATGCAAATCTAGACCAAAACAAGCAAACAAAATTCTACAATAAAACAAAGAAAAAAACCAAAGCTACAACCTTATAGAAGATCAAAATGAACTTTTTCCCTGAAAGTGAAAGTGTCTCAGCCCAGAAGAAGAGAGTGATATTGAAAGAGCTTGTGAAGGGTCGGGAAGCTGCTACCCAACTCAAGTTTCTGCTTCAGAATCCCTTTCGGAGTGAACCCTCTCTCTCTTCGCATGAACTCATGGCCAATATGTTCACATCTTTCACAAACGCTCTTTCTGTTATAAACACTTCTTCTGTGGAACCTGGTTCAGCAGATGGGGTGGCTCATCGGGATCTCCTGTTTTCTGGGGTAAATCTTTCGCCGGTACCCGATTCCGGCAATCATCCATCACCCGGAGATTGCAGTGGGAAGAGATCACAAAAGGGTGGGAGAGGTCGCTACAATAGAAGGTTAACTTATCCATATTATCTCTCTCACCAATCTCTTTCTATAACTGTTTTTCTGACCCGGTCAAAGGTTGTGTAGTTCATCACCGGGAGGTTTGATGAACTATGAGGTGTACGGAAGTACGGACATAGGGTGAATCATAGTTGACAAGAGTCAAATTTTGGATTATGCATTTATAGAGATATAGGTAGATAAAATAATTACTGCAGAATTAACAATTTTATATGTTGATTTAGGTTCAAATCTAGGAGGGTTTCTTGTAATTTTTCAAGATGAGTTTCATATTATTGATGTTATTAATCAATCAATTCATGACTGAATGGTTAATATATAGGAGGAGTGAAAAGACATGGACTGAACTATCCTGCACCACTGATGACAATCATGCATGGAGGAAGTATGGACAAAAGGGAATATTGAATTCTGAATTCCCTAGGTATATATTTTATGATCATTGTTTCCTTTCCTTTCAATTTTTATCTTCCATAGAAAGATATCTTTAATTATTAGATATATTAATTATCTTTGTTTGGGTTTGGTCTGCATCTCCCTCCCAATAAAAAAATGCTAAATATTTACATTTGAAATTGACTTTACTAACCTATTGCATGCAGCCTCAACTCAAACTGTTCCTTTCCAAGTGGCTGATTCATACAGAAAGTAGAAACTACATCATGCAACTATAAGGGGCTAGTAACAAAGACTAATTTATGGTGACTTTAATGCAACTATGAACCTAATTTTAGTCTTTAATTCCTTATGTTGTTGTTGTAATATAAAATAAACAAATATAAAAATAATCATTCATTTTTACTGTGATAAGATTTGATTAAGTTGGATTCTTAACTTATTTTTATGTGTCTCACAATAAACATCACATATTTACAACATTAATTCATATGTATTTTTAAATCTCAAAACCATTCTGTCTATATCTTGTCTAAATACTGTACTGGAGATAATATCTAACTTATTTTAATGAAATCAAGTTGTTGTGTATACTAATACAGTTTTTTATTCTACTATCTTATTTTATTGGTGTAATATATTTTAAAAGAAAAAATTAAATTAGAATACAATTAGTAAGATAAAATTGTATTTTATTGTTATTATTATTATTATTATTTATTTATTTATTGTAATAATTATTATTCATTATGATGTATGAATAGAGTAGATAATAATAACATTGATCTATCATATAGTTGCTTGTATACAAGACAAAACAACTATTTTTTAAGGTAAAACTTTACATTTCTGGTTCTATAGAAAACCTAACATGACTAGAATAATCTTAACCAAATATTTTGTTATCTCTTTCCGTTGCATGTTATATTATCTTGTCACGTATAATAAATTTATTTCTTATAGTTCCACAAATAAATGAACATCATATTCATACTACTCCCATTTTGTTCTCTTACTATTCTTTTGAAATTCAGCATTTACTGTCATAAAGTATATTATTTGGCTGTGCAGAAAAGCTATAAAACTTTTCTTCAAACTTTTAAGAACAACGAGTTTTACTGGTCAATCAAACTGATCTTTGTTCTGTAGGAGTTACTTCCGGTGCAGTCATAAGTATGATCAAGGTTGCCGAGCAACAAAACAAGTGCAGCAGGATGAAGAGTATCCAGAGATGTACAGAACTACATATTTTGGCATTCACATATGCAAAGCCACTCCCAAGATTACTCATTCGGCCACAGATTCTTCCACTTGGGAATCGTATTTTCTGAATTCTGATCATGACTCTAATGTACAGGTTCCCCTCATTACCCCACCAATCTTAACTACAGACCAAGAATTTCCCAAAGAAACTCACACATCAAGTGATCTTACAGATCACAAACTATTGGATCCTATCCTGTTGTCAGATTTGAAGGATTTTGAACCATCCAACCCCACCATTGTGCCCTTGGGGAAGGAATCTGATAACACTACTGCAGATAATGTATATTCATGCACAGACTCGCAACGTCTAGACATGGATTTTGAGGTGGCATTTGTTCATTTTGGCACTGACTTTCACTTTGAGGAAGGTCAATTGCTTTAATTATTAGCAGTGTGTATTAATACATTTCTTCACAAATATTTGTAAGATAAAAAATAAGAAGAAAAATAAACTAAAACTATATCTATAACAAAATTTGTCACACACACACACACACACACACATATATATATATATATATATATATATATATATATATATATATATATATATATATATTAACAGTTGATTTTCATATCTATAACAAATGTATTTTTGATATAGATTAGATTTTCTTTTATAAAGATTTAATTTTTATTGGTATTTTTTTCAACAATACTAATGCATGAGAAGACACAGTAACTAGATTAATGTCCAATACATTATTCACTCTCTGTTATTTAAGAGAGTTGTATTAATCAATAGGGTTGTCATTTTTTTTTTAAATCAACTTTAAAATGGTGGCGCAGTATAAGTTAAAGCTTCCCAAACCCGAAAGGCATTTTACTTTTGTTTTCTTCCTTTCAATTATGGTGGAGGAATGAAGTGCTCATGAACCAGTTACCTATGGAGCAAGGAATTCATACGTACCTCTAACTTAGAAATTATTACAAGGCAAATACACGTAATCAAGTTCTACTAAATCTTTCTCTTAAACTGAAAAACTTGACCAGAATATTGTGAAAATTTAGAAGGATTATAAGCATGTAGTGGTTCTGAAATGATCATTCTTTGATTGGTATGAACAAAGCAACATAATTTGAAGCATATAAGAATAAATAAAAAAAGAAAAAACATGAATAGTAAGATTGTGTGGAAAAATAGACTTGGCCTCTATCTTCTACTTGAAATTTCTACTCCTTTTGGTTTAGTGGAGACCCTTTTGCATACCCCATTTGACACCATTGCTTTCTTTGGATTGTTTAATGAATCCGAGGTGTTTGAAAGTGATTGGCACAATAGAGAATATTATAATCAATGAAACCTTTGTAGTGTGAATATGGAATTTTAGGAAAACAATGAATTCAACTTGATCTTTTTCCATGGTTTCTTGAATTTTCCTCTTTGCTGAAACTATAAAAGGTGTTGTTAAGAAGAACAAGTTTGTCGGTAATTCTAAATGTGTTGGTTCTATCTTTCTTTTTTTTTTTAAAGGGAAAAACTAAAAGAAAAATAATTATAATCATCATATTTTTAACAACGTTATTGGTAATTAAATCATATGGTTAAGTGACGAAAAAACGTACGTGTATTGTTTTAAAGAATTTAATTGTGATGTACTTGAAATGTCAACATATTTTTTAAACAAGCATTCAATTATTCTAGACAAGTTGAAAATTATAAACCACGTCGTTTGAATTAGACCACAGAGTACACGACATTATTATTAAATGGAAAATATTAAAAAATGAATGAAATTTCAATGAAAAATATATTTTTAAAAATCAAAAGATACACACATAGTAAGAGACATGGAAAAAGATACCCTTTCTGTTCAAAAGATATTTTTTATCATTACAATGTCAAAAAAGTTATCATATATATGATATTGAATTCCTTGGCACAGTAGTACAAAGTACTCTCTGTTTATCCTTATCTAACCTGCACAACTTTCATTTATTACGAATTTATATAATCCTATTTTCAAGAAATCCCAAAGAAAAAAGTCTAAAGTAAAAGTATTTATCAATTACTATTTTATAGCAATGATTTAAAGGACTAATAAAGCATTAAAATATTAATTAATAAATAAAATAAAATAAAATAAATTTTGTTAAAATATTATCAACATTTTTTATCCCAGTTAAATAAAAAGTTTATATTTAGTAATTTCTCACAATAATTTATTAATTTGTATTTATTAGCCTTTTGTTTAAAGAAAATGGACACGGCACTGACGTCATCCCTGTAGTCACAATCAAACGTCATCCTTTGCTCTGGATGGCAGTGAAGACCCGTTATCACTTCTCCAATAATGCATTCAATTTTTTTAATGCATCGAATTATAATATAAATTCTCACAATAAACAATAAAATTATATTATGTGAATTATTATATTTATATGTTTAAGTGTTATTATTCTTATACATAATGGACAGTTTATATTCAATTTAGATGTTTATAAATTTATTTTATAATAATATTTTTAATTAGTTCATTTGTATAAACATCTAATACATATTTTATTATAAATAAGAGAAACTGATAAACAATTCTAAAATATATTTTTATTAATAAAAATAATAATATAAAAAAGATAAATAACAATATAAAAATTTAAAAAGTTCATATAAACCATGTAATAAGATATAAATAAAATAATTGGATACCAATGCAATTTAATTCTCCACCATTCATTCCAATAACTCCAAAAAAGTTTGAAAATGACTCACTTCTGGAAATAATAATTTTTTCTTTCTTTGAACACATATTTCAACTAGTTGTTTTTTTTCTTATTCAAAATAATATATATTATAAAAAATGAAATTATTTCAGAAAAATTACTTTTAAAAATTGTATATATATTTTTTTCATTTTTAATATTTTACTAATACTTATTTATATTTAAATATATTATCATAAAAGTATGCATCGATGGTTAAGGATCATGCAGTTAAAATACAAGCAGTTGCAGAAATCAAGATTCCCACCATTAAGAATCATTCATTTTTCTCTGTCTTCCTTTTTTTCTCCTTTGTCCTTGGCGTCTTCAAACCAAAAAAAGAAAATCAAAGCCAAGATACTTACAGAAAATGAATTACAACATGCTTTGTTCTGAGAGTGGAAGTCTCTCAGCAAGGAAGAAGAGAGAGATAATTAAAAAAATTGTTAAGGGTCAGAAAGCTGCTACTCAGCTCAAGATTCTGCTTCAAAACCCCTTTGGGACTGCACCCTCTCCCTCTTCTCACCAACTCATGACCAATGTCCTCACATCTTTCACACAAGCTCTTTCTATTATTCAATCTTCTTCTTCGCAACCTGGTTCTGCAAATGGGGTAGCTCGTCGGGATCTTCTGACTTCCGGTGCATACGGGTCGCCGTTGACCGGTTCCAGCCATGATCCAATGTCTGGACATTGCCGTGAGAAGAGATCCCAAAATGGTCGGAGAGGTCGCTACACTAGAAGGTTAACTTGTACATATTCTTGAACACATTATATATATATATATATATATATATATATATATATATATATATATATATATATATTACAGTAACAAATATTTTATAGTTCAAACGACAAACCCTTCTTGATCCCAGAATTGGGTTACCGAGAAGGAGGATTTGACGAATTGGGATGTGTACGGAAGTACGGACGTAGTGTGTCACTGGTTTACATCAGTGAAAAGCGGTTTTCGAGGTTATATATATATAGGTTACATCAGTGACGAATTGCTAGCACTTTATTTTTATGATAGAAGTTACATTTTTCGAGGTTATATATAGGTTGGATTTGATCATATGGTTATATACTTAACATGATGGTTTGAGTTAGTTGAAGGTGAGATCCAAGAGGGTTAATTTTCACAGAAGCATTTTACAGATTCTGGATATATTGCAGTATGTTAAGTTCCTGTTTTGTTTATGAAGAAAATGTGTTCTTTTGTTTATACATGAAATGATGACATGCATGTGTTTTGTTGTGTCCCAGGAAGGGTGCAGTGACATGGACCATTCTCTCTTCCACCACAGATGATGATCATGCATGGAGGAAGTATGGACAAAAGGGAATCCTGAATTCTGAATTTCCTAGGTATATTGTTATCATTGTTTATCTTTCTGTGATCACTATTTTTATATTCTTTTTTTCCTATAGTATACGAAAACATGAGTGTTTTTGTACACGATAAAAGTTCATCACATCCCTATCTCCGACAGAAAGGAAAATGTTTAATGCATATTTCATTTTTTAACAAGATAATTTATTAAATTCTAATAATACTGCAATAAAAATAAAGATTCTAACAGACCTTAAAATAATAACCATAAACTTCAATCTAAAAAAATTGACAATATTAAAAAAAAAACTACAATCAACTTTGACTTAAAAAAAAAAAACTTTTTTATATCATTTAGAAAAATGATAGTGAGTAAATAACGTGTCAATTTTATACAAATTGACAACATCCTTATCTATAACGAGAGAGAAAAAAAGAGATGAAAATAAGAATTTCAAATTCTAATTTTTAATTAAAATTTAATAATGGTAAATGATAAAATTATATTTATAAATTTCAATTTTTTATAACTTGTTTTTATTCAAACAACACATCTTCTTAAAAAATATTTTAAATTATATATTTAAAAAGTTATCATATAAATCATTTTTTATCTAAACACATGATGATTTGTGAGTGAATGATTTTAAACATTTGATGTACCTGACCTTTGTCTTACTAATGTTTTGTAGGAGTTACTTCAGGTGCAGTTACAAGTATGATCAACGTTGTCAAGCAGTGAAACAGGTGCAGGTGGATGAAGATAATCCACGTATGTACCGAACTAAGTACATTGGTATTCACACATGCAATCCCACCCCTAATACGGCAACACACCCAACCACTTGGGAATCATATTTTCTGAATTCTGATCATGACTCTGATCCACGGGGTCCCCTCATTACCTCACCAACCTTATTTATAAAACAAGATTTTTCCAAAGAAACTCACACATCAAGTGATCTTACAGATCACAAACTATTAGATCCTATCATGTTGTCAGATTTGAAGGATTTTGAACTATCCAACCCCACCGTTGTGCCCTTGGGGAAGGAATTTGGTAACTCTACTGCAGATAATGTGTATTCATGTACAGACTCTCAAAATCTGGACATGGACTTCGGTGGGGTCGCACCCGATGATTTTGGCACCCACTTTCACTTTGACAAAGGTCGGTTTCTTTTAATACTGTAGTTGCTGGTTTCCTAAGCTTTTGTTTTTGGTGTGGAGATCTGTGTGTTCATAATTTTCTTAATTAATATCATGATGGCAATATGAAGAATTACAATAATACTTGATCAAATTGTTCCTGGAGTAATACTGTTCTATTCTTGCTGCTGCAAAATAACGTAACGAAGACAATCATAAGATCAATGATGGGTTCAATGTCTTAGAAATACTTTTCAAAGAAACCGTATTTTTCTACTTGGAATTTTGAGTCAGTTCCTTTTATTTATTCCATGCCAATGCTGGTGCCAGTTTATACAAGTCAAAGCTTTCAAAACCAAAAACCATTTTACTTTTCCCCTTTCAATTACGATGAGGGAATGAAGTGTAAGCCATCTACAATTCTTATATAACAGATAATCTCTTCTACATTTGCGTAAGACAAAAATACTCTTAATTAACCTTTCAAAGTCTTCCCTTTTTTTTTTACAATTAATCTGTACTACCTACCTGAACATTGTCACTTTTTCGTATTGTTTTCTTGTAAGACTAACACCCATTTTACCATTTTATTATATTAATTATGTAAGATATATGAATTTGATTTGAACTTTTTCAAATTGGCATAGTTACTTTACCATTAGTTTAGAGTGTATTGGTATGTTTTGTAATGAACAAGTAAATATATAATCAAGGCACATAATGTACATTTCTACCAAACCAATTTCAGTCAGAAGATTTGTCATGTAACTCACCTTGTTGTAAGCAATAATTTGCAGGAGTTACTACAGGTGCAGTCACAAGTATGATCAAGACCAAACAGGTGCAACTGGATAAAGAGAATCCGAATATGTACGAGACTACGTTCGTTGGGCATCACACATGCAATGCCACCACCATGTCTACGCATTCTGAAATAGACTATAGTTCCACTGCATGGGAATCATATCTTCTGAAATTTGGTCTACCAAATGTGCAAGATCACCACATTAGCTCACCAAACCTAACTATAAAAGAAGAACTTCCCAAAGAAGACACACCAAGTGATGTTACAAGTCACAATCTGGATCCTAACATTTGGATTGATTATGGTGCACGTAGAGATGGAATCTGATCAGATACTATATATGGATTTTGGGGTGTCTGCCATTTTGGCCCTGACTTCCACTTTTGACCTAGCTTTGGTTGCGATTTTTACCTAGGTCAAAATTTTATTGAAAAGGGTAAATTAAAAAAACAAAATTATGGATATGAGTACCATATTCCGTGATTTTTAAAAATTCAATTTTTCGTAATTGTTGTACAAGTTACCTCTGAAAGGTAAAGAAACCAGGTTTGATTAGTTTCCTGAGCGTTGTATGGAGATATTTTGTTGTCATTTCATTTTGCTGAATAACAAGATAGTGATAGTCATGTGAGAGAAAATAAATAAATAAATAAATTATGGTTCTCTTCTTCAGTCAATTGTGATGAATGAGGAATGTTTTAAATTAGAATGATGCATAAAAATGTGAAATTAATCAAAGAAAAAATCAGTATGTGTTATCTTGAAAAATCAGAATGTATAGCTGCTTATTTTAAGGAATGTTGTCTATTTATTTTAACAGTTTCTTTTAAATTTTTATTATTTATAATTAAAAAAGTAGTATAAATTATATAATTGTGAAGCATTTGAAACACAAATTACATCTCATTTTACATTTTCAACTTTAATTTCAATTTGAGAATTTAGTTTGCACAAAAACTCCATATTTATTATATATTAATGACTATTTCTCATAAAATTAACTTTACATAAAAATTTTGTTTTAAATGTGAAAACAATTATTTCTTTGAATTATAGATGTTAATCACAATCTATTGTTTATTGTTTATTTGAATTATAGATGTTAATTACAATCCATATGTGTTAAACGAGATTCGATACATTTAGTAAAAGGTTTATCATCGATACAAAAATACACAAGTGCATACATATGGATCACATGTTTATAGTGTAGATGAGTAAAATATTACCATTTAATGTTTAGAAAGTTTTGAAAATGTTTGAACAAGATATTCGAAATTGAATACTTGAGAAAGTAAAATGATAATGACATCAATAGCTTATGAATGAGTACAGAAATTTTCAAATAAGTTAGGCTCAAATGATTATATGAATTGAGAATGGGTAAACTGTCCAATTATATAATCATAGAAAATCTACAATAATATTTTTAAGTTATTTCATAAGATTTACGTATTTGACATACATATTTTAGAGTGAGAGAATTAAACAATAATATGTTAAATCAATCTTCTATCTTTAATGACTTTTTTATAAGATTGATCTCTTGTAGTACAATTTATAATTAATGAAACCCTCATGGGATATAACATGAGAAAAAAAAATATTTGTAAAATATGAAAAAAAAAGTGAGAAAAGATGTTGAGAGAGTATTTAGTATGTTAATATCTCGATTTTAATTATACGGTCCATGGTGTAATTGACATATGAATATAACGAAAAAAATCATATTTATGTGTATTATATTACATATTAAAAAAATAAATAAGATACATTTTCTAATAATATTAATATTAACTATGACCCTATCGATAAAGACATATTTCGTAATGTTTCTTCTAACTTTGTACCTATAAACAAAGGGAGACTTAAACAAAATACTTAACAATGCTTAAGTAACATAAATAAAAATATATAATTTTTTATATCAATTTTAAATGTTTATTTTTTTATTAATATATGTGTTATTTAAATTATTAATAAAGTAAATTTATTTTTATTAATTAAAATATTAATTATTATTTTTTATATTTTAACTTTTAATAATTAAATGTTAATTAAATAACTTGTTAAATATATTTTAAAAATTATTAAAAAAATTTATGATTTATAAAAAATATTTTAAATTTTAAGGTAAGATTTATCATTAAAATAAAAAAAACTAATAAAATATTATATCTATGTGACAATATATCTATATAAAAATTATTTAAGATTTTTATATTAGAGACAAGACATCTTTAATAGAAGTATCTCAAATTATTTTTTTAAAAAAATTAAGATGTATGATATCACATTTAGATAAATGTTATTAAAAGTTTTTTAATCAATTTAATAAAATTCACTTTTTTTATTATTTTTCTTTATTCACTTTGATTTACTTTTTTTTAAATTATTTAATAAATTAAGTAAAAAAATTAAACAATTTATTATATTATATAGAATTTTTCTAATGAAATTTTTTTCAAATAATTAATATTTTATTAAAACATCTCAATAAATAATTTTCATTAGAACTTATCATGTTATATAAATAAAAAATTGTTTTAAGTGATTAATATTTTATTGAGAACATTTGAATAAAAAAATTTGTTAGAGATGCACTTAAATGTTGAGAAGAAAAATAAATTATAAGAGAGAAAAAAAAAGGTAAGATGAATAGTTTCTATATCTAGATGCCTAATCCCTTGGAAAACCTAATTATATAGAAATTGAATTAGAAGAAAGGATTTAAGTATTGACAAACCCTAATTCTGTCATAGTGTTCAACAAGTTCTACTTTAAATCTAAATAGTAAACATATTTTCCAACACATGTTTCCAGCCCGTTTCAGTTCTTGAATGTTTGATTAACCAAACCAAAACACTATTGAGAGAATGGAAATGAAACAATAACATTGAATAAATAAATAAATATATATATATATATATATATATATATATATATATATATATGTGTGTGTGTGTGTGTGTGTGCTCACTTTCTCATGAATCTATATGGGAAGAAGTTGAACATTTGAGGTAAATTATAGTTGGACTTAGATATAAGCCTTTTTACAGAAGGGAGATGTTATTGTATGTTATGTCAAACGAAATGATGGCATGCATGGAGCATGTTCCTGAATTCTTGTTGAATTAAGTTTTCTTTTGACTAAATTCTTGGTTTAACGATCATAAATGCAAGCTGTTACATGATGATGGTATGATACTCTTTTGGAATCCTTACCAACAACTTAGTTTATATTTGACAAAGATTACCCTTAGGGAACTACTCATATTTTTTAAAACCTCTCACAAGAAACTCATCACAAAAATAAGCAGTTATTTGTTAAAACAACATGCAGGCTCTAGAGACATTTTGAAGTTTTTATACTGAATAATCTATAACATATGAACCTGATTACAGGAATGATGAAAGATTGAATGAAAGATCAGATAATGAGATGCAGAATCAGGGGAACGAGAGTTTGTATGAGCAACTTCGAGGGAAAGCAAAGATAAGTGATTCTGTATGTTCATTGTCCTTATTAACAGAAAGTTCTGACAGAGGCACTGATAGAACAATATCAAATTCACGCGATTATTCCGGTCCCTCATGAATTCATCTTGTATTCGTTATAATAACTAATAAGTTAATGCATTTGACATTTCATCCAGTAGATAGTGGTGTAGCTAGAGGAGAATTTTTAATCCATTTTGGAAAGCCGTGGTTATGAAATAGAAGGGTCTATGTTTCAATGTTGTCAATGCTTTGAACTTTTAAAGTTCTAACCACTCACTCCCTGCTCTTTTGCAAATGAAATGTTATGGTTCTGGTGCACTGCTACCCATTTGTCTAATCATAATATACTCCCATTTTTGCTTTAATTTGGTAATTAAAACTTATTACAACTCATTAATATCTTGTTTAATTATTGTGAAAGGTTTAACCAAGCAACAAGACCTGGTTTTGTTACTTGTTCTGGTCAAGGGGTATTATTTACTTGCTTTTGGTTTTTTATCCCAATTCACGAACTGTACTACTATGCACATCAACAAGGTTTACAAGAAAAGTGGAGCTGACCTATAAATGATAAAAAGAATGGTGTTCCAAATTCTGTCATAGAGAATGTTAATTGCTACATTTCTTTAATTCACTTTTGGCAAGTAGCAGTTTTATTCTATTTGGCTTATGGTTTTTAGTTGTTTCTGCAATATTAACTTGCAGCACAAACATTGAAATGATCGTATTATCCTTCACTTTTTTCAGAAGCCAACCTGTGTTCAACTGAATGGCGGTACTATTATGTAGGACACATCTTTTGGATGAGAAATTAAATTTAATACTTAGTAAAGTTCTTTAACATGAAAATTTGTCTTTTTAAACGGGCAAAAAAAATTTATTGATATGTAGAATGCCAAACCCAGCACAATATATACCAGAGAGTTTGGCTTTCCATGGGAATCTTGTAATATGAACATGTGGATCGTAACATTCCTCTTCCAACCATACATTATACGTAGCACATGTCCTCTCAATCTTAGCTTCAGCCAACTTCACTTACATTCCGTATTTGTTGCTACTAAAATTACCCCCTTCCCTCCCTTATTGTGACAGAGGGCAACAAATGTCAAATTAGTAAATTTCTTCCTTATTTTTTTATAATTTTTTTTTTTTGTGAAATAGTAAGTACAGAAGAGATTTATAAAGCCAGTAAAGTTTACTTCTTTTAGATAATTAGTGTGTAAAATAAGGAAAAAGCAACTAAGAGTAGAACAATAAATTGGAAAATAAATAAACAAGACAATAAAATGTTTAAAATCCAATTATGATATTGCTCTTGCTTAAGGTCTAATATTATTAGCTTTAGTTCTTTATAGGTGCACATTTTTTTTTTAATAAAACAAATTGGTTCTAGTTATTAATGGTCGTGAGGTAATGCAATTGTGTATTATATAACCTTATGGTTACGAATAACATCTTATATAACTTCAATAATATATTACACTATTCTGAACTATTGTGGTGTGTAAACTTCGAATCCAAGTTCAGGCCTTGCCCATAAATAGAGAGTTTTTTTAGCTTGTACGAGGAAGTGACTCAAGAATATAATCATTTCTCTAGTATGAAATAAGAATATTTGTTCTAAAAGTTTCATCTATTTGAAAGTGTGAACGTTTGTATTCATATTATAGACTCTCTACAAAAATGCTTGAATGCATTGATGTGTCCACGTTGGCCCAGTTCTCAACTTGAGGATTTGTTTTTCTTATTTGCCGTTACATGTGAGATTCTAATGATAAAGATCATTAAAAACTTCCATCTGTGCAACATTCCAATCTCAATTTTATAAACTCTTGTCTGCAAAAAAAAAAAAGTTGGTGTTTTAAATTCGACAAGATTGTTATTGCTGCAAGAGCCATTTTTAAAAAAAATCGCTCATTGTCAACCAAATATTATTCAACGATATTTTGAAGAGCACCATGGTCTTGGCTGCTTGAGTAATCATTGTAACAAAATATAGTGTATAATATATATAGATAGATTGAGAAATTCCCTTTAGTTTCAGAAAGCAAAGTTGTTTAGCCGCCTAACTTTACAAGAGAATGCTAACGCTACCCTCTTTGTCATCATTTTAACAATCTTTACTATTAGTTAAAATTTATTAGAAAGTATAAAATCATTAATATATCTCATTAAATAAATGGGACTACAAAAGTTTACACTTTTTAATAAATATCAGATAATAACTAAAAAATTATTCAAAAGAAAGTTAGATAGAACTTCACTTATGTTTCACTAATAAGATAATAAGGGTAATGGTTGGAATTCGCTTCTAGTTTTATTTACATAATTTAATATAGGGCAAACTAATCTACCGATTGGAGACATTATCGAACACCTAAATGTTATGAAGGTATTGCTCATAATATAAATACAAGTACTTATTTTTCTACATACAAAGTTATGATTGGATAGTAGCCACCTTAATGTAAAGTCAAGACAAAATCACCAACTTGGGTAAAGATGTTAGTCAAAACATCCATATCAAAGTGGAAGTTGCACAAACAAATGGCATTCATTAGAGTGATGCAAATTTGTAGCTTCAAGATTAGTCATTGTAAAGAAGTATATGTGGTGAGATTATGCATTATCTAGAATCTAATGACTGTATGGGGTAACAACCCCGAATGTTCAAAATTTGCTCACCAAGCCTTCAGCACTGGAAGCACAATGGTGAAAAGAATTGAGTACATGAATTTCTTACATGCAGCAGTTAAAAAGCAGCTGGTAGATAAGGGATGTGCTGGGTGGTTTCATACTTCTTCAACCTATAATGAAAAATAGTCATCAATCAAATGTGTAATCTCAATATAAAACAAATATTGTTGTTCTTAAAGGAGGGTCAGAATAACCTGAGGGAGGCTCATTAACTCAAAAACAGCTTTCTTAGGAGTAAGTTCATTGTCAATAATACGAGCAACTGCTGTCAAGACTGGCATCTTTACATTATATTTCTGTGCCAAAGCAATCACAGCTCCGGCCGTGGAGACACCTTCTGCTACCTGCACAGAGCAGGGATAGACATTTTAGAAACTATGCCACTTGCTAGAATTTCAGGAATGATAAGATGCACTTGGAAATTTCTTAGATACCTGATTCATGGAACTGAGTATGTTCTCAAGCTTCTCACCTGATCCAAGCCGCACACCAACTGTTCTGTTTCTTGAAAGATTCACGAAACATGTAAGCATTATGTCTCCAGTTCCTGAAAGGCCAGTTATTGTAGTTGGCTTTGCACCCATCTTCAAAAGATAATTGGAGGGAAGAGTAATAAGATAGGCAGAATAAACATCAGTTTTTTGGGGTGGCGTGAGTTAAATACTTAATAAGTGTAGCCCACTACAGAAAGTAAATATGCATGTATACATACACCAATGAGGGTGTCTACTATTATGTATTTAAGTAAAATTAATATATATGTATATATAAAGTATCATCAAAACCGAGACCTCCAACCATTGGAATCGCTATAAAGCATCAGAACTCTATTCTTCATATTGTGCCATTACATGCATAGTTTATTATATGCATTCAACATATTAGACATTGCATGAAATATTACAGTCAGTGAAAGCGTTGATAGTAGACAGCCATTAAAGAGGATTTAGTCCTCCATGGAATGATAACTCGGAACAGAAAAAAGGAAAGGGAAGGGACAGAGTCTACCATTTGCAATGAATTCGAAGAACAGATTTAATAGAGGTCAACTACCTTTGTTGCAAGCCACCGTATCTCTGAACATCCCTGCGAGACAAGAGCAGCCATTGAGTTGTTACCAAGATTCATACCTTCTACTATCCCAGCTGCTATTGCAAGCACGTTCTTGAGTGCACCTGCTATTTCAACTCCTGTAACATCACTGGAGTTATCAGAGATTACAAACTGAACATTTGCAACAATATCTGTAATTATGAAACATAAAATATATAAAAACAGAAGCTAGACATAATAAAAATAGAGGAGAAAGTGTAAACTAACAAGAAAGACAAACTAGTTCAGAAGGGGGTAAATAGAAATTCAGACAGAAATGAAGCAAATAATTTACATATGAAATTAAATTTCATGAATGAATCTAGTGAAGGTCAGCTACCTTGATGTGCTGATTCTTAAATGACTTGAAGCTAGTAATTGCTGAACTGAATTTGCCAATTTTTTGTCTTTTGACGCCACCACCATTGCTGTTATTAGAAAATGGAACCAAAAGATAAAATTGACTGACTTTCATCATAGATAGAATCAATGAAACAAAATGTGCACACACATGTAGCAACATAATTATCACCTGTGGGTAGCTTATCCATCAATTCCAGAGCAAAAGAAGGCCCTGACAGTGCAACAAAAGGCTGGCGAGGATTTCGTAGTGCTTGAGGAATAATCTGAGCCATCATCCTCAGTGTATTCAGTTCTAGGCCTTTACTGAGGGATATGAATGGCAAGCCAGGATCAACATACTCTGCAACACTCTCGAGAAAAGATGCACTGAACTGAAATAGTAGAAACAGAGATTTAGACAGTCATATCTTTTACAAATGTTAAATGCTAAGATTCATCGTACGTATTATACTTGACAGCAAAGATCAAACTAAATAAATAATCAATTACTACTACTATTAACGTCTAGTATGAATAAACTTATTCATAACTGCTTATAAGAGAAGAAAATAAAATAAAATTAAACTACTCTTAAAATTAACTTATGCACTCCGACTTTTAAGAAAATTCTTCGATTCTAGATTTTATAAAAAATGAGGAACATACATTGATTTTGACTTATTAAAAGTTAGATTCATTTTTTTCTTCTTCTTCTACCAGTGTTATGAAGATTTATATTCAAACAGAGTTACGAAGTTGATTTTAACAAATGAAAAAAGCTTGTTTCATTTTGTTTTCTATTTTCCTTTTCTGTATATAAATAACTAGCGCAATTAGCTGGATATGTGAGTTGTAAACCTTCTTTGTACCCATGTTCAATTATTATAAATTAAAAAAAAAAAGTTTATAGCGAGAAGTTTATCCAAAGACCTACTTACTTACTACTAATGCCCAATGTTTGACAAAGTAAAAAATAAACAAAAAATTCAAATGACCTGAACAGGCACAGCATGGAGGCAGTAATCAGCACCAAGCAAAGCAGATTTGGCATCGGTCGTGGCAACTACATTTTCTGGCAGTCTATGATATGGAAAGTACTTACTGCCCAACAAAAGAATACAAAAACAGTCACCTAAGAGAGACATAGATAACAAAATTAGACTACCACAACTCAAAAGTTAAACTGTAATTGATCAGACTATGAACACATTCAAAAAGGTTACCAATTAAAATGGTTCTCATTGATAGACAAGCAAACTTGAGGGTCCCGAACCAGCATATTCACCTCTAACTCAGCCTTTCTGTTAGCCACATGTGCAGCCATTGCCGTCCCAAAGGAACCCCCTCCAAGTACAACCACCTTAAAAAACAAAATCTCTCAGCACCACTACACAAGACACAAAAAAGAAACTCGGAAACACCATATCACATTATCAACATACAATCACAAGAAGAGAGTAAAAAACATAAGCCTTTGTTATATTTCTTTATTATTTAATTTTATAATTTTCAATTTACATACAATTTGTATTCACTATGCTCTAAAGGAGCTAGTAAATTGTCTGAGAGTATCTCGAACAAATATAACCTGACATTTAGCGTCTAATACCATTCGAACATGTATAACATCATTTTTACTGTCTAAAAGTGTCTCAAACAGATATAGTATGACATTTAATATCTAACAGAATCTCAAACTCAATGATACTACAACATTGCATTCAGACCGTATCTCGGACACAATCAAGCGATAAACCAAAAATGTGTGCGATGTTTTATTTTATAATTCAATTATAATTTGAAATAAAGTGCGACCTTATTGGTGCGTTGGAGGATGTCAGTGTTGGCCTTCGAACGCCAAGACCTGGACCAACGCACGATTTTCTCCCAGGCGACCCGGACGATTCTCCGGCGGTCACGGGTCGGGTCAGGTGGGGGCTCTGAGCCCGGGTCCGGGTCTTGAGGAGGAGAAGCATTTGCGGCACAAGGATGAGGGTGGGTATTGCGAAGGGTGAGAAAGATGGGTTTAGAGGAAAACGTGTGAATGTTGGGAGGGAAATTAGTGTTGTGAGGCTTTGAGGAAGAAAATAGTGCTGCGAAAGGAGCTTCCAACACTGCCGCCATTGTTGAAAACTTGACACAGCGTCACACTGAGAGAGTGTGAGAAAGGTTTGTGTGTTTGTGTAAGAAAACATGCCACGCTTATTTTATCCCTACTCAAATTTCAAAGGATCATAAAATAAAATAAAATCAAATATAAAAGTCTTTATGATTTAAAATAAAATATGAGAAATTTTATATAACTCCCGTCAAATAAAAGTCACTCATCTATTTTTTAAAATATTAATTAAAACAAAATTCATTTAAAAAAAATTGTTTACGTAAGTTTATTCAGTAATTAATATAAAAATTGTACTTTTTACAAAACATAACTACATTAAACATAGGAATAACATTATAGAATATAATGTACAAGTATAGAAATGTGTATGTGACAAATTTTCTAAAAGGAAAACATAAGAATTTATAAAAAAATAAATTTAATATTTAATTTTTATGTTTTATTATCACAAACTTTATAAAAAGATTAAGTTTACACATATGAATTTAGATTATTTTTATATCTAATTTTAGTATTTAATAAATTTTTTATATCATTATAGAATTAATAACAAACTAAATTTATATTCTTAAATATAAAAGTTAATAAATTGAAAAAATACAGGAATGAAAATAAAATAATAAAAATAAATTCATAAGAAACATATTTAGCATATTATTATTATAGATTGGTTAATTGGGGAAGCAAAGCACTTAAACTCAAGTCTGAAGAAAGAGCACATGTTCGAAAATCATAATTTTTTTCCCCTATAAAGTAAATAGCAGAATCACTTTTGAACGTGCAAATTAAAGTACCAAGGTTGAATCAACGTGACGTGGCCGTTACCCCCAAAAATATATATGCCACGTGACTTTTTACGAATCAAAGAAATGAACCTCGCATATTTCACTGCCCGACAATTTTTATTATTATTATTATTTTCTAAAAGAAAATGGTTTTGTTCATTATGTTCCAAGTCCTGTAACCGAGGAAAAAGGAAAATTCAGGGTAAACTGTAGATGCCTCAAATTCTTCGGTCATGCAATTAACAAAAATGATTGAACAACATGCTACGTGGCCCCCTTTTGTGCCCTATTTAATGCATGAAATACTTTTTTCTTTAATTACTTTATTAATATTTATTTTGTTTTATTCAATCATTTGTCTTATTATATTCTATAATTATTGTGTAAGTCTTTAACCATGTTTTAATTGAAATGAATGTTTTAAAAATCACTTACAATAGAATAGAAATAGAAGTAGAAATGGTTTACACACACTTTTTATTGACCTTGTATTTAATTTATTGAAAATGTTTGTTTTAATTAATTGGTCATAAAGGAAATAAGACAAGTATTAGCAACAGTATGAAAAATAAATAATACTGAAAGACAGTGATTTTAGGATATATTCTATTCGAGGCTAGAAAGAACAAAGAGGAAAAAAGTACAATGGTTGATTCTACGTATATGTATACCTACTACGATGAACAGTACTAAAATCAAGTGAAGAAGCGCTTTACGTTCTTCCCTCTGAAAGCCGAAAGCAAAATATCTTCTAATCAATCAACAATTTTTCTAACCAATAATTATTATTAGTACTTAATATTAAGCCTAGTCTAGCCTTGCTAACCCATCACCATCACCATCACCATCACCATCACCCTCACCACCTCATTTTCTTTATTCCTTGCCTTATGTGACATAATACCTATTAACATAATTTAATAATTAATTATAAAACACATTTAAAACGAACGTGTTCCTTTCCAATTCCCTTGTCGTTTTATTCACCATTTCAACTTCTGGCGCGCTTAGTCCCCCGAAGGCTTAATAATTTACAAGACAAAATATCCCTAATGGAAAAAGCTAGATATTAAGGCGTTGTTTGTTGAACTGTTTTTAAAAAACCTTGGTTTAGATTTTAAGACCACGTCTATTACTATAAACAGGATTTGAAGGAGGGCAGTTTTGTAAATAAGTGTGGTGAAGAGGTTAATTGTGATGATGAGAAGTCCCACCTCGCAAGTTACAACGGAATCCCACTGAACCGCACCAAGCCACGCCACGCCACACCACCTCTGCTTTGCTTCTGCTTGACACCACAGCTGAACCGCCACATAACATCTCTCTCTTTCTCTCCTGTCTTACCTGACGAAACGGTTGTGGTTAGAGAGAGGGGGCACCGGGAAAAGTGCCACAACGTGCCATGCCGAATACCGAGGCTAACCGCAGCCACCACTCCCGGGCCCGTCCATCCACGTCAGCTCCGATCAGGCCCCCGGCACGGGCCCGCGTCTCGTTGCGGCAGCTGCTGCGCGTGGCGTCAGTGGCCAGCGGTATTCAGTTCGGTTGGGCTCTGCAGCTCTCCCTCCTCACGCCCTACGTCCAGCAGCTCGGTATCCCCCATCAATGGGCCAGCATCATCTGGCTCTGCGGCCCCGTCTCTGGTCTCTTCGTCCAGCCCCTCGTCGGCCACATGAGCGACCGCTGCAGTAGCCGCTTCGGCCGCCGCCGCCCCTTCATATTCGTCGGCGCCGTCGCCATCGTCATCTCCGTCCTCATCATCGGCTACGCCGCCGACATCGGCTGGATCCTCGGCGACACCGTTGACTACCGCCCTGCCGCCATAACCGTCTTTATCGTCGGCTTTTGGATCCTCGACGTCGCCAACAACGTCACGCAAGGTCCCTGTCGAGCCTTGCTCGGTGATCTCACCAGTATGCTCTGATTCCTCTCCTCCTATCTTTAATTTTTAATTCGCAATTTTGTCACTCTTCGTGGCTAATTGATTTTTTTGTGAATTGATTTGTGCGTGCAACTGAGGTGGTTCAGCGAAGATCGAGCTACCTAGTTGACTTCTTTGTCTCTTCGTGGATCTTACTCTGTTTCGTAGATTGCGCAATTTCTCTAATATTTCTTTCAATTGACTTGGTTCATTTACTGAACTTTGACCGTAATGATCAGCGTGCGTACTTTCCGTTGACCAGATTTGACCAAATTCTCTTCCGTGAAATTTTTGCCAGATGTTAAATTTGGCGTTTGATTTGGAAAGTAATGTAGTATGTGCTTTTGTATAGATTGGCAACTTGATATTTTTTTTTTTTTTTTTGGAGTTACGGAGAAAACAGAATGCAAAAACGTAGAATGAAAAACGTGAAGTTCAATTGTGTCTTTTATTAAGGGTTATTTTGTTGGGTTAAGGCTGGTAGTGGCACCTAGTTCGTAGTTTGGATCAAAATGGCGACTAAGAAGCTCTATCGGAACAAAATTAAAGTCTTCACGGTTGTGTTGAGGGGCGTCACGGGGTGTTATTTTTTTCATTCCATGCTTCTCGTATTGCTAGATTTGTTAAATGCTTCTTGTCTTGCTTTTGAATTTCATGGGTTTGTTGGATTTTTTTTTACTTTAGTAACCGCATTGCCTTCTGAATTGTTTTTCTTTGATAGATGAAGAAAATTATGACTGATGAAAGCTAAATTTACTCTCTGAATAATCTTACGTGTAAAATAAAAAGATGGTAAAAGAACATCATGTATACAGAGGAGAAAAAGAAATGTCTGTATAAGATTATTTAGAATTAGTGTTCACTGCTAAGTATTTGAAAATTGAACATCTTTATTCAATGTGCATTAACACTTGAACTTGATGAGTTTTTAAGTATGTGATTATGGTTAATGTTTGGATTGAGCTTTATGTTATATAGTATGGTCATGATCTTTGGTGTGAGTAATAGTTGTATAACTTTCGAATCAGAAATCTTTTCTAACATATTCATAGCAGTGACAAAGTTGAAACTACTACCAAACTGGAGAATAAAGTTTTTATGCTTTTTGCTGGCTGAACGTCAGGTTCGCTCTGCACCCCTTGGGTCACAATCCTCGTATTTCGTCCTTTGATGACTGGGAAAACTGGGAGGTTTCCATTTGTTTAGGTTAAGCTACTTTTATAAGGATTTTCTTAAGTGAAAGCTTTTCTTTCTTTCTTTTTTAAAGATGATTCTACTGGGAGTTGTAGAATGTACAGTAAGAAATGCGATATAATAGTATTTTATATAGGCTTGTTTTCTCTTCATTCCTTATGCTAGTTACCTTTGGTTTGTCTAGAATTTTGGGCTGAGCCTAACTCAATAATCCCAAAGGTGAGTTCATGAGGTGAGGATTTTCCAAACCTTTATAAGCTTGAGTCTGTCCATATCTGTAGTCGTTGAGGGATCCTCATGCATAGGATAGGATTGGGACATCTGGATATTGGACCAGGTAGATAGTTAGATAGTTGAGCGTAACCTAATTTTAGATTCACATAGGGGTTGTTCATACATACCATCTAGAATTTGAGATGGGTCTAACTTACGAGATAAAAATAACCCAAACATTTATAAGATTTAGTTTGGCGACATTTGTAGTTGACATAAGATCTCAACATTCCCTATTCAGGCCCAGGGTTAGAGTGTGGAATTGTAAGGCATTTGAAAAAATTCATAGGGAAAATAGAGGAATTAGGTAGTTTTTAGAATATTGAGGATGATCTAATATTAGATTTACCATAGACTCTGATACATTGTTGAATATTTGAGTTGAGCCTAAGTCAACCCCAAAGTGAGTTCATAAGATGAGCAATGTCTAAGTTTTGTAAGCTTAATCTATTAATCTATACTCAATGTCGGATGTCATCACCCTCCTTTTATGTACTGGATTGAACATCTGGAGTGTAGACTTTGTAGGACTAATTTTTTTATTGCATTGCAAAAGCTGGAGACCTAGGTAGATTTTTTAATAGCTAAGAGTGACTCAGTATTTGATCCACAATGGCTTTGTTATCATATTGACACAACTCCAAAAGCTAGCTCATGACATAAAGATAGCTCAAGCCTTTATACTATCTACTTTGGCCATATCTGTAATTGATGTGGGGTCTCAATATCCCCATTAATACCCAGGATTGTGCACATGGACTGTGGACATTGTGGGACTACTTTCCTTTTAATATTGCATGGAAAACTGCAGGTATAGGTAGACTTTTTGGACAATTGACTGTTATCTAAGATCAGATTTATGATAAGTTTTGATACCATATTGAATTATGCTGTATCTGCTGGATGTTATTATGGGATAAGTGCCTGAGCTAATGAAGCTTCTATTCCAAAAGAATTGAATAAATGTTACCGATTTAAAGGTGTCTAAGAACATTGAATAAGGAGATAAATGTTTTTCATGCCTAGTAACAAAGAGATGTATATATATAGAATGTTAACTGTTGTGACAGGAAAGAGTAAGCTGCTACCAACTAATCAAACTAGCAGAATCTATACCTGGTGTCTAATTATTCATAACTGATAATGAACTAACATAAAAGTAGTTGCATTCTAATGTGATTCATAAGGTGGGGTATAACATGTGACTGGTTATACCAAGCTTATTTGAAAATAAAGTTCCTGCATTGACCGATACTGGTGGTCCACTTCCCATACAATCTTCTGCTATATTATTGAATTCAGTCCAGTTCTCAACTAAATTAAAAAGATATAGTAATTATCTTTTAATTTTATGACATTTGACCTAAATAACTTTGAAAAAGCGACAGAAATAGTCTGAATTTATGGGACATTATGTATCTTTCTATGCCTCAGTCTATCTTTGTTACTTTGGACATATAATTAAATGCTCGCTTGAGACTTGAGAGAGAGAGAGAGGGGGGGGGGGGGAGGGAGAATTATATGTGTTTTGTGTGAACTTTCCCCACTCCCCTCATCAACAAAAAAAACCACAAAATGTTTTTATTATTTCTTTCATCATTTATATGAAAATGAGTGATCAATTTGGAAAACAAACAAGACTTAATGTTCCTCTTGTTTGGAATGTTAGGCAAGGATCCTCGAAGGACACGTGTTGCAAATGCTTATTACTCATTGTTTATGGCCGTTGGTAATATTCTTGGCTATGCAACTGGTTCTTACAGTGGTTGGTACAAGATTTTTACTTTTACACTTTCCCCTGCTTGCACAATAAGTTGTGCAAATCTCAAGTCTGCTTTCTTTCTTGACATTGTTTTCATTGCGATCACAACATATATCAGCATCATGGCAGCTCATGAAGTGCCTCTAAATTCAAGTGAGGCGGCCCATGCTGAAGCAGGGGCTGGGGAGTCAGGTAGTGCCGAAGAAGCTTTCATGTGGGAATTATTTGGGACATTTAAATATTTTTCGACCCCTGTATGGATAGTTCTGTCTGTTACTGCTCTCACATGGATTGGGTGGTTTCCATTTACTCTCTTTGATACTGATTGGATGGGAAGAGAGATTTATGGTGGTGATCCAAATCAAGGCCTTATTTATGATACTGGAGTTAGAATGGGAGCACTTGGTTTGTTGCTTAACTCCGTTGTTCTTGCATTAACATCATTGTTTATGGAGAAGCTATGCAGGAAGAGGGGAGCTGGTTTTGTGTGGGGAATCTCAAATATCCTGATGACTGTTTGCTTTCTTGCAATGCTAGTATTAACTTATGTGGCAAGTAACATAGGTTATGCAGGCAAAGATCTACCACCACCTAGCATTGTGATAGCTGCGTTGATTATCTTTACCATTCTTGGGTTTCCATTGGCGGTAAGTTGCCCTACTCTACTTCTAAAACCATATTGTTCCTTTCCTATCAATATTGAATATGTGGCTAATACATCTTAATTTTTTTTATTTGACCAGCTTTTGCTAAGCAATCTCCTTTAGCTAGAAAAAAAACTGTACTATATTGTTAAAATTCTATCAAATTTTTTGGTGGTGCCCTTGTGCTACCTTTTGTTTTAGTATAACATGTTTTTTAGAGATAGAAATTTATAAATGGTGCCAAATATTGTTTGATTAATATTATTTATTGCAGATTACTTACAGTGTTCCGTATGCCTTAGTTTCCACACATATTGAGTCTTTGGGGCTTGGCCAAGGTTGGACTCTATTCATTACATTGTTTATTATTTCTTGAATATGAGTTGAACTATTTACATGCGTCGCTGGTACTTACAGGGTTATCAATGGGTGTCTTAAATCTGGCAATAGTGGTCCCACAGGTATTTATTATTTTTAATATATATGATTTATGTCAAACTGCCTTTATTTTGATGTATGTATTTGTTAGAGATACCACATGGTTTAGAAATACAACAAAAATATATTATGTAAATGGAGAATAACTTTATCTTACAAACTAGTTTTGTAAGATTGAGTTAAACCCTGACTCAAATTCTGAGAGTGTAAAGCATAATCTTATTAGATTTTCATTTGACCTAAATCTACTTCTTTAATTCAATATGTTGTCTTGAATACTGAATTGAACGTAAAACAATGGGTACTGAGTCAGGAGGTGCATTATCTGCAGTTTCATGTCAACTGATAAAACAGCTGTCTTTAAGTCCTTAGATCAGCTATTATTCGAAAAAGAGTAAATTTAACTAGCATGACCTTTTTGTACTACCACACTGATATAATCATTTCTGTTCTCCTAAATATAACATTTCAAGAAACTGGCAGATTTCAATATGGTATGCAGCAATTATGAAGCAATTTGCATATCCTACTCTACATTTCCTGCTGCCTTTTTTCCACCAACATAAGCGGTTTAGATAGTCCAGGATAGTAGGTATGGGATAATAGTCGTTCAGGTAATGCAGTGCTTTAACTGCCCCAATGGGAAAAAGAAAATGAATCTATTGAACGGGCACTACGCATAAGTCTTACACATCTTACTTACCAATAGTGGAGTGAACCATTTGTCTTTTGGTTCACGAAGAAACTGTTAGATGAAAGAAACTGACTTGCATTATGAGTGAACTCATTAACTGATATAGGAAGACAGAATTGATTTGATTGGATGGATTTGATAGGATGTCCTTTACATTTGAAGTAACTAGATTTGACTGTCAATTCCTTATTTTGGAACTTGCTACAAAAGAAATTAAAGGCTATTTTAGCCCTTCAAAATTGCAGAAGACTGTTAACATAGTCTCGGAAATTATTAAAATTCGAAAATAGTTCATGATATTGAAGACTATTCAAGTCAGTTCAATCATCATATTCAGTTAACAAACACTATCAGAGATGCTCATATGGCTCCTATGTCGGTCCACATGCGGCAAACCAGCCACAAGGACTATTTTAGCAGTGTTTTCTGTAAGATTCACCTTCTGCCTCTTTCTTCTATTAAAAATAATCCTTTGAACCCTAGCATATGAAGAGTCAGAGCTTTATGAGGGAGTGCATCATTTACCTAAACACCCTTTTTGTGTAATGGTGCATTTTAACACACAGAAGCAGAGTTTTTGCTCACATGGGAAACTACTGAAATACATGTTATTGTAGGTTTTGTCTCTGTAAGTGGTAAAATTGTTTTTCTTTTTTTAAAAACTTCTCATGTAGAGCATCACTATGTTCTATGGTATCCTAACTAAGTTAGCACACCATAAAGACAACCTTCATGTGCTCAATACATAAGATATATATACAAAACAAAACCAAATACAAATTCATGGGGGGACCAAATCAATGCCCATGGTTTCAAGAAAACCTATAATCAGGAAGGGAATACCTATTTCTAAAAAATTCAAGACTAATACAACTAGACAAAGAAGAATACCAATGAAAATCCTCTCATTGTAATCCCAAGATTAGCTAGTTTATCAGAACATTGGTTTCCTTCTCTAAAAATATGAGTAACATAACATTTATCCTTTTACATAAATCCATGGCCTTATACCACTTATTTTTTATTTTCCATGGAATCACCTCCTCTTTAATAAAAGCCTCCACAATCATAGTAGAATCACTTTCAATCCAAAGTCTATTCCAACCTCTATTATAAGCAACCTCAAAGCATCAAGTTCTGTAAATAATGCATAGTTATTACCAAGAAACTTATGAAATCCACCTATATATTAACCATTAGAACCGGGAAAGATACCAGCACTAGCAACCAACCCCGGAGTGCCTCTGGCAGCACCATCAATATTATATTTAATCACACCTACATTAGGCTGTTTCTAATTCACTGGTCTGTAACTAACGTGTTGAGGAGTATGTATATCAATATTAAAATACATGAGCACTTGGAAGTCTTGAATGTTATTCTTCATAACCCCTTTAGTAAGTCGGCCAGTAAGATTAACACCAAAAGTGACCATTGACACAGCCATATTATAAGTGATTGGTTCCTGAAACCGAACAGTATTTCTCAATATCCAAATAATCCAATAGGTATGAATGACAAAAGCTGTAACAGTATTTCTAGCTTGTTGATTAAAACATGCTATCTCCTATTCCTCTTTTCCCAATAGATTCACATGTCCATTTTGATACCCATGTCCTCAAAGACCTTTTGGACCTAGAATATGAAGAAGAATCAGAGCTTGAAGAGGAGCAACATAGAGGTAAGGATGATTACTATGACCATGTGCACAGTCTAGATAGCTTGTGAACCTGGCACTTGTTGGTTAAACCATAGCAAAAAATCAAGATTATCATATTCCCAACTTTTGACCCTTGAGTTTGCAAATGCACTCCAACTTCCACTCGTGCCTTTCTTTTGTTCTCTACTAGACTATATAAATTGTCCTATATTGCCCAATATGTTCTCCTCTGGGTTGTTCCTTTTGAAACTTTGTTTCTACTAATTCTTGGTACGATTCTGAACAGGAGGAAGGAGTGGAAAGAAGGTTAAAGTTGCAAAAAATATTGTTGGAATGGTCCCTGTGAATGGGCTGCCATGTGGGAGCTAGCAGGGCAATTAGTGCCCACTTAGTTGTGCTTTTTGATCTTTGTTTTCAATTTTTAATTTTGTTGGAGATTCCACGTGCTATAGAGATATGACTAAATTATATTATATAAATATAAATACAAACCTGATCTTAGAAGTCAAATTTATAAGATTAAATTAGGCCTAAAACCACTTTTTAAAATGATATCAAAGTTAGAATGGAATAAATTGACAATCTTTTATTTTAGAGTAGTATTTATAAATTTTAATATTTTCAAGGAATAAATTGACATATTTCTTCAACTAAAAGAACTAAATTGATCATTCCCTCGAGAAATAGAATTTTGAATTGATTTGCAAATCATTCTCTTGTTTGTGGGAGCACCTCAAAGATAAATTGAATTTATTTTGTTTTAACAAATATGCTTTAGTACCCTTACTTAGAATAGGTAAAATAAACTCACTAATCTAATGAGGGCAAAATTTTCAATTCTAATAAAATAAAAATTAAAGTCAAATTTAATCCAACCAAATTTGTGTGAATTTTTACAGAAACACAATTTAAGCAAAAGAGTTACAAAATCAAATCATTTCCTATTTTATAAACTATGCTAACAAAATTTATTTATATATCAAATCGGTTCCCTTTATTGTATTGTTTCAAACATACTGCATGTAGTTCTAAGTGAATGATGTTTTGTGTTCTATAAATGAAAACTTTGTAAAAGAGCAATAGTTATGAAGTGTTTTTGGAGCCAGATTACATATTTATCTTTCGTTTTTAACAGATAATAGTGTCCCTGGGAAGTGGACCATGGGATCAGCTATTTGGTGGAGGAAACTCCCCAGCCTTTGCTGTGGGAGCTGTTTCAACCATTCTCGGTGGACTCATGGCTATCTTGGCTATTCCTCGATCTGGAGCTCAAAAGGCTCGAAGTCATGTGTGAGGTATCATGTTCTGTCTGCTTTTGGCATTTATTTCTTTCGATGGAGGATGGTGAAAAGGAACAGGTAGCAGAATTTGTATATAGTTATTTTTTTGTTGTATCCTTCTTCTTGATCAAAGATTTCATTCCCAATTTTCAAATAACTAAATAAATGTTTGATTGTACTTTAATATTATTGGTCATTATTTGAAGCCAATGACCTGATTTTTTAGTGTTATTATTTTCTGAAGCAAAGAGAGCTTTTGTTACAATTTATTTGTGTGATCCTGATGAGCGAGTTGTCTGTTTAAAACAGTGAGGTTGGTTGGCTATGTAAATCATGAGACATGGACATGCTGTAGGAAAAGGGTGAATACTCTTGATGTCAAAGGAACGATGTAAAACACAAAATTCATAGAACATTACTTTTCCCAACATCTTGGAATCTCATGTAAATATGATATCATAAAAGCTGTCACCAGATACTGGTTGACATATTGTGCAATCAGTGGAGACCTTCCCCGTTGTAAATTAGTTCTTCCCGTGCAAGATGTTCCTTTCGAGGCTAATTGCAAAGTAGTTAGGGCATTTTCCATGGGTTCTAAAGTTCATATCGGGTAAAATTCTTTCCCACCAAGACGAGTTGCTGCTGATTGGGAATTATTATAGATGAAAAATTCTTTTATTTTTAGGCAATTCTGGTTGTGTATTAGTGCTTCTATAGTGAAGTGTTGGAATCTTATACATTTGTGTGACTTGTTTGTATTAGTGGGATGGATGTGTTTAGTGGCCAACAGTGAATATGTGAATTTTGCTGATGGAAACCTTGATGGAGACATGCCTATAATGCTCCTTATTTTGGTATAAGTATTTTTCTTTCGAAAAGAACAAAACTCTTTTACAACTGGTTTGATTTATCGTGGACATTCAATGTTTATATTTAGTTTGTAGGTCTTGCTGTATGGCGCCTTGAAGGCAGTTTAACTAATCATAATTTGTAGAAGAATTAAGTAGTAAATGCTTTTATGCATTTTCAATATTTAATGTTTTTACTTAACATTGAATTTTTTTAATTAGAAGTTACATGGAACATTTAATGTTGTTATTAGGTAATTTTTTAAGTAAAAAACTATATTGATTTTTTTGCCTCTCACCTTAAAGGCTATATAACAAATTCTTTTCAATATTTTATTTTTATTTTTAATTTCATTGTGAATCCTTAGGGACAAATTCCTCCAACCATTTTGCTGCTTTAGTACTATGGAACAAATTCGTGTTTGATATACTTCACTCTGATTTTCTTTCAATCATCTTTGGCATAATATCTTTTACTAATAGCCTTCTACTCACACACAAGCCACATACATTTCGATCTGCTATCAAATCTTTTAAATCAACTATGAATTCGTGACATAATTTTAAATGACAATTGGCTAATGAAGTGACCTCTATTAATGTTCTTGAAAAGAGAGATTTTCAAAGCTGGGCCCATCAAAATTAAAGTCTTGCTCTACAAAAGATGCTTATTACTTCTGGTCAAGAAAATCCAAATCGTATGTATGAGTAGTAAATGATTACTCAAGGTTGCATGTGGTGGAATTTAATATTGCAATCTCTGCAGTAATTCCATTAAACCAAAACAAGGGATGTAATTTGGTTCGTGGAGAGAAATGATTTGTATTGTATGGTAGAATATTTGACTCCATGACAATACATTACATGGTAAAAGCTTTGGTTTGATGGATACAATGCAAGAGAGGAATCTGTTCGATCTTCTAGAGAAGCATAACATTGTCAAAATTAATATTTCATTTGTCTTGTCACTCTTTTAGCCATATTCCTCAATTCATCTTCTTGTTTAATCAGCTTGAGTAATATTATTCTCATGTGTTTTACTTATTAATTATAATCTATTTTTTTATGTCTCTGTCTAATCTATCAATTAAAGTTGTCTTAAGATGTCTTTTTAATTGATGAGAGTTCATTTGTGTGCCATAATCACGTGATCCTAGAATTGGGTCTCTATCGATTAAACCCCTTAGGTGGGAGGGAATTAGGCACTGTCCTTGCCCAACTAGGATGCCAAATTCGAATTTGAATTCCAATTTTCCAATTCATGTTCACTGTTTGGATGACACCAATTTTTTCAGTACTGATTCTGTGGATGCTTATTTCTGTGTGACTCCAACTAAACACTAGTTAAAGTTGGATATCATTTTATTTTATCTAATACATCAAGAAAAATTAGAAAAAGATTCTCCCTAGAAAATATCTACAAGACATTTATATTTACTTTATCTCAAATAGAGGAATGAGAGTGTGAACCTATAACATGTTACATACAAAGTATAGTCTACTCCACTGGCCTAATCTAAATTAATGAAGCATGTTGCTTGCTGCCACTGACGATAACTCTTTTTAAATTATTTTCACAAGTGGGGTTGCAGTTCTTGTTCATTATTATAAACTTTTGTTGCACAAAATAACACTTGATGAGAAACTGAAGTAGAATTTTGGATTGGATCTGCTTGGTGGTGAGTGTCACCTCCCTTACAATCAATGCCAAACCCTTTTACTATGTAATGCGTTGCCTAGAATCGAAACTGGAATCTATTGGGAAAACAGGTCCACACTATTTCCCAAACAGAGCCTAGCATGTGCTAATCAACAATGTTACCAACGAAGCATCAAATGTAGAGTAACCAACTATGACTAGCCAGTACTTGAGTAGTTGCCTTTCATGGCCCAAACTCACCTTCTGTGTGTTGCACCACCAGAAGAAGTTTCTAGGGTAATCATGCATTTTTGTTTTCTAGTAAACTACATTGTTTAGGAAGAAAGAACCAATATTGTTCAATTCTCATCTACACAGAAAATTGGAATTCATTAACACTGTCTAATTTGTTTATACAGATTCCATTTTATTATTACAAATAAATATCTCCAACCAACATGGTATAGCATGATTAGAGATAATGGATCTGAAGAACTATTTCTCTATCAACTCAAGTCATCTTTCTAGATGAAATTGATTGATTAGGATTCAATAGTTTTCTTAAGAGCTGTATATGTACCTTCTGATACTGTTTACCAACCATGTTTAAACCACTCTCTCTCAATAGAAATCAAAACCTTAATTTACTAAATTGAGGGGAGATAATCTCTTCAACTAGATCCACTAGGGTTGATCACTTAGGACAATGCTAATGCTATCCTATACACATGACTCCTGACCTTTGTGATACAGATTAAATGGATGTTGTGATTGGAGCACTCAAATTCTCTCTTTTATGTTTCCAATTTCCCATCTGTCTCTCCTCCGTATGGCCACTAGGGGTCCAATCCATTCCATACTTGTATTTATGAACATATAATCATATAAATGAAGAAACCTTTACAAAATGGAAAGTAAGAAAAAGGGTGCATTATAAAATCCTACCTAAATACAAGACAAGCTACTTGTCATTAGACCCTCTATTGCTAACCATCTTAATTTAGACATCTCATTAGAGATTTCATTTCTCCTCTATTGGTTAACACACATAAACTACTCTCATTACAGTTGTTACATCATTGCCCCTATTCAATTAGCCTGTTTTCAAAGAGCAATAATATGAAGATCAAGGTGTAGAAACTGTGGGGCCAAAACTTAGATATGTTTGGGAAAAGTTGCCATCTCTAGACTTTGGGAAAGTAGTCATCAAGGGAATGTTTTGGCCTTTGGGAGTTGCAGATATGGTTCTATTTCTATCCACACAGACAGCAGGAGTTGTGTTAGGAATGGGGTTTTATGACATTGGTTGGGAAAGAATGGAACATGCAACACTTTCATGCCTCAAGGAACATGCAAAGCAAGACATTTTGCCTTCCAAATCAGAAGCTAATGTCCAAAACACAACAAACCATGTTGTATATGCAGTATACATATGAAAACTTTTAATATAGGTCAAGAACAATGCTAATTTATGATTGCTCTTTCACACATTACTTTTAAGGCTCTGTTTTTTTATAAACTTCATGAGGGTCCCTAACTTGGGGCCATTATCATGCATCCACTTGTCACTCATAATCAGCTTGTTTTATGCTAATAAGGTGAATTAAGCCATGGAGGTATAAATGCTCATTAATTCTTTTAATGATTATTTTGATTTATTAATTTTAGTTGAATGTGTTAAATGTTAATAAATAAAAAAAATATTGTTGAATGAAACTTTTCAAACTTGTTATTTTTCTTAAATTTTATCTTAAATTAATGATGTTACAAGATAAATTAAGTGGGTTAGTAATATTTTTTTAAGATGAATTCATACAGAAAATTAATAAATGAGACAATTTATAAAATGTAGGTTTAGTTCACATCAATCCTCAGGAGAACATGTAGCATGGTTTAGAGGATAAAAATAATAATAATAATAATATTAATAATAAAACAAGGAAGAAAGAGGAGAATGATATTAACCACAAGATTCGGCTATAAGATGGATGTGTATTTAGTGTTTTATATGTGTAAAAAAAAAAAAAAAGGTACCAATTTTAGTTTAAAAAATATATTTTACAAAACAAACATAAAACATATTTGAAAAAAAGCATCGACAAAATAAGGTGAATTTGAAAGTTATGACTGTTGGGTGTTATTTTAAGTAAGGGATGATTAGAAATAAATGCATAAAAATGTTGGAAATTAAACAAACATAAAAGGTGGCAAAATCTTACTTTAAGTGATTTAGATGTTTGTAGGAAAACTAAAAGATAAGATGAAATATAATCCTATCACTTAAGAAAGAGGAAGACAAATAAATAATAATACAAAGTGAAGTCCTCAAAATATAAGTAGAAGTCAACAACAATAATAATTATAATATATATATATATATATATATTTGTATTTTTTTACATATTTATTCAATTATATATACGCATTAGAAAGTTTGTTAATTTTTATAATAACTACATTAAGTTATATTTACTAAGAGTTTTAATTACTTTACAACATAAAATTTTCTAAACTAATAAAACAGAGAAATTAAACTCATAATATAGCAATATATAATAGATTCACAAATAAAATAGTATATTTAATTAATTAACTTATCATCTTGTTTGAAAAGCATGGGTGTTATGATAAAAAACAAGTAAACAACTACTGAAAAAATAAACCTTTTTTTTAATCAAGTCACAATACAAGATGATACGATAATAATATTAAAAAATAGTTGCAATTAATAAAAAAATGAAATAGTTCTACTAGTCTATAAGTAATAACCAATGGTTTAACTCACATGCAAGAATTGACTTCTCATAAACCCCACTTTACCAAATTTCAGGATAAAATTCTTTATTTTCCATTCTCGACAACCCAAACACATGGTGTTTGAAATTGAAAAGGTTATCCATTTTCATTATTATCAAGGAAGATACTTAAAACCACTATTTAGTGCTTCATTATCGAACCAAAGTTGTCGTTTTTCGACGCTAAAAAAAATCATTAAAGCGAATAAAGGCATTTTTCTTTTTTTTTCTTTTTTTTTCTTGAGTTTCACCGTCCTAAAGATAGCTTTGGACTTATTTCTTCTCCACACTCAATGGTGAAGAAAAACACTTATCACCCGTAATGCTTCTCATGCCACAAACCCAATTGTGTTTTAACTTTTTAGTATGCAAAATTAGGTTCTCACGTACACTTACAAACATGGGATGCAAATTATAAAGTGATCAAAGTCGGTTACCACCCCACAAGCATTTTCTTTCCTTCAAGTTTGATCTTTCTTTGACATTCTCTCTAAACTAAAATATGTATAAATATTGACCTTTCTGATATTATTTTAAACATCATAACTATCTTTTCAGAACAGTTATAATCCAATTTAATACAAATTCTAGTTAAAAAAATTTAACTTGCATAATATTGGGAAGTTGATAACGATCTTATTTATATTATATTATTTTTTATGATTTGCTTGAATTTGAAAAGGGGCCCTATCTTTCATGCATATATACACACCTTCATCCCACTCCCCTCCCCACATACACAAACCTTGCTACTCTCAATCAAACAAACCGCACGCTCACTCTGCTATGCCAGAAGCAAGAGAAGAGTAGCAGGGAACATAGCATATATTTTCCTACCTTTGTTTTGTTACACAAAGATACTCTCTCTTTCTTTAACTCTTCTTTTGTTTCCACACAAGAGTTTCTAGCTAGTCATGTGTAATCCCAAGCCAACTTCAGCATCTCCATTTCTCAGTCCCACAAAATCCCACCCCAAAGTTGTGTATCCTTCCCCTGATGATCAGGCTCAAGATGAATTGCACAGATGGCCTACTCTTAATGAGGTAATGAAACAGAATCTAGTTAATACAAGAAAAAGCAAGTAGTAATACCATATATACATATTGTTTTGTTTTTATGTTAAAGTGAACTAAATAAGTTACTAATGCCACTGTATCACTTGTTTAGTGAAACCGAAAACAAATAACAGTGTCAGTTTATATGGTTAGACATACATACTATTAATATTAATGAACTACTATTGAATTTGTCTTTTGTGTTTCTGCATTGACTCAGGCCATAGCAGAAATCAAGGCAATAGGGATGGTATCAGGTCCAACAGCCATCACTGGTTTAGTCATGTATTCAAGAGCTATGATCTCTATGATTTTCCTTGGCTATCTTGGTGAGATGGAACTAGCCGGAGGATCTCTCTCTATTGGTTTTGCCAACATCACTGGCTACTCTGTGATCTCTGGATTAGCCATGGGGATGGAGCCAATTTGTGGACAAGCTTATGGAGCAAAGCAATGGAAGCTACTTGGCTTGACACTGCAGAGAACTGTGCTCCTTCTCCTCTCAACATCCATCCCCATCTCATTCATGTGGCTCAACATGAAGAGAATCCTCTTGTGGTCAGGCCAAGACCACGAAATAGCATCAGTGGCACAAACTTTCATCGTTTTCTCTATACCTGATCTATTCTTGCTCTCGCTTCTCCATCCTCTAAGAATCTATCTCAGGACTCAAAGTATCACATTGCCATTGACATATTGCTCAACAATCTCTGTTCTTCTCCACGTGCCTCTGAATTTCCTCCTAGTGGTTCATCTCAAGATGGGAATTGCCGGGGTGGCTACGGCAATGGTGGTGACCAACCTCAACCTCATTCTCTTCCTCTCGTCTTTTGTCTACTTCTCCGGTGCATACAAGGCCTCATGGGTTCCCCCCAGTGTGGACTGCATCAAGGGGTGGTCCTCATTGCTATCACTTGCAGTTCCAACCTGTGTCTCAGTTTGCCTTGAGTGGTGGTGGTATGAGTTCATGATAATGCTGTGTGGCCTTTTGGCGAATCCAAAAGCAACCATTGCTTCAATGGGAATCCTTATCCAAACAACATCTTTGGTCTATGTGTTCCCATCATCACTCAGCCTTGGTGTTTCCACAAGAATAGGGAATGAGCTAGGTGCAAACAACCCTGGAAAAGCAAGAGTTTCAATGATAGTGTCACTCTTCTGTGCTGTGGCATTAGGTCTTGCAGCCATGCTGTTCACCACCTTGATGAGGCACCAATGGGGCAGATTCTTCACCAATGATCATGAGATTTTGGAACTCACATCACTAGTGCTGCCAATTGCTGGCCTTTGTGAGCTTGGGAACTGCCCACAGACCACAGGCTGTGGAGTCCTAAGGGGCAGTGCAAGACCTACTATTGGTGCCAACATCAATTTGGGCTCATTTTACTTGGTGGGTATGCCAGTGGCTATCCTTCTGGGCTTTGTGGCCAAAATGGGGTTTGCAGGGCTGTGGCTTGGGTTGCTTGCAGCCCAAGTCTCCTGTGCTGGCAGCATGCTCTATGTTCTTTGCAGAACAGATTGGAATGTGGAAGTAGAAAGAGCCAAGGAACTCACAAAAATAACATCCACAACAACTACCACTTCTTGTTCTGCTGCTTCTGATTCTAACTTTAAATTACCTACACTCACCAAAAAAGAGGCTAACATTAACAAGAATGCTCATGCCTGTCTTGAAGAGATAGTTATTACTGCTGGTGGTGATGACCTTACCAATATATCTTCACTTGAAACAGATCCACTGATCATTCCCACCACCAAACACACTCAAGTTTAGTTTAACCAGAGTTTATTGTTTTTGTTTTTGGCCCCCATTTTTTTACCTTCATTTATTGGATTGTACTGTAGGATAAAGTTGCCCCTCCTTTTTTGTCATCTTTCTTCAGGTTGTATTATTAATACCCCATCTTTTTTTTTCTTCTTTTGTTTCTTCAGGTTGTATTAGTAATAATTGCTATTGAGAAAAAAAGAATGTTTTTTTTTTTTTTTAATTACTTCCTCATAAAGACGTTGGTAGAAAGAGAAGGGTTGCAGGGAGGGCAAAAGGGATTTATACCTGACTTTGGTACTGATCCATTCCATAAAAAGCCAAACGAACTGAAAACGGAAAAACAGCCTCTGATACCATTAACACTAGGCCTAACAACCCACTGTAAGCAAATTCTCTGAGCATCCTGTTCCTATTCTTATTCTCTTATCTTCTTTTACTATAATAAAGCAAATGAAATGATGTAATAGTTGAGTTATGCAGCAAAATCTTGTACCTTAATCTATTACACTCCTGTAATGTGTGAAAAAAAACGTTATATTTATTAAATGACTTCTTTCTATGGTTGTAATTAAAAAAGGTAACATTTATCTTCTATGTGCAGCAATAATATCCTTGATAAACAGTTAGAATTAATCACTCTGGAGAGACATGATATAATATAGTGAACAATGTCTTTTAAGATATCTTAAAATTTAGTTTTGATTTCTAGATAAATTTAACATGTTTTTTGCTTTTACATCTGCTTTTAGTCTTTCATCAAAACTTAAAACATTTGTTTATATTAAAAATGTGTTAAATTTTTAGTAAAATGATAAGTATTTTGAACTACCAAAGAGATATTTTAACACAGGTCTTTTTATACCATATTCATGACATGAACCACATCCTAATTAATGTGCCTAAACAACCTTATAATCTTCCAACTGTTAGGTGTTTTACTGATAAGAATTGAATGACAAGCATTCAGCAAAGGCATTTCACCATTCCTCAATAATGGATGAAACCAAGAATGACCCCACTAACAAAGAGGGAGCTTTAACGAGCAACATAAGATGTTACCAAATAACACTAATAAGTTGAAAGGAGAGCAATATATATTCCTCCTCTAACCAATGTTTTTTGACATCATGGCAGAATGCACATTGAGTAGTAGTGGATGAGGTCATGGCATTGGCAGAGAAAAATGGTAGAAAGATATGTTCCTGTTTTCCATGGACACACACAGTATAGTGTGTGTACGACATAAAGATAATGAGCAAAGCAAGAATGAGGTTGAATGGAAAAAAAGTCACAGAAAAATGCATGCACAAAGCATCTATCTGCTGAGAGAGGGAGCAGTAAAAGAATGATAACAATAATTGGCAATAGAGAATATGTACATAGAAGGGTATTGGGGGACCCTGTTTCAAACTGTACATACAAATCCATGTATTATTGCCCCTGTCAATTTCTCAGATGACAACAAATTGGAACAGTGTCTTTGCATCACCACTTGCCCTCCACCTTAGGCTTCTTCTTCTACCCCTCATTTATTTTTCTCTTTTGCCCCAAACTATGTCACCAAACACCACTTTAGGTGACTATTATGAATAACAAAAACAGGTTCTTGTGTTATTTGTGTTTTGGTTAATCCCTCCAATTCTTCATGTGCACATTTTCTCCAACAAGATGTGGTACAGGTCCCATCTTATTTGCAGTTTGGAGGGGAACAACCCTAAGGTCAAGTTTTGTCCTCTTCTCCTTCTTTTTCGCTTTATGTAGTAGTGCTGTTATACAATTGAAACCACTTCTCATCTCACCTTATCTTCTATTTTCAACTTTTATAGATAATAATATCTGCATTCCCATCTACATCTCCTGCATTAACCCTCTCCAACACTTGGATCAATTCTCGTGACATTGTTCTAATCAATTCGCATTTCATCCTTCAAACTTTCTATTTTGTTACTTATTTTACATAAAGATCTTGTTTTGCTAAAATTAGTCCAAGCTTCCATTTTATTACCAGTTATTTGGGTAGAACTGATTTTAAGAAAAATGATTTTGTGTTAAGTGGGTTAAGAAGAAAAGGTTTCGTTTGGATGATGGGGTAAATATGATTTTAAAGTATGCATAAGATATAACCTGCAAGTCACACCTAAATTTCTTTGTATCTACTGAAAAAGTTGAAATTTTTGACTTCTTGTAGCATCATTATACCCGTAGAGAATTGATTTTGTAAGCCTCCATTTGGAAATCAACACGTATCATATCAAATTGGTGTGACAAAATGTGAATTCAAAAATAATATTCTAAAGTGTTATCCAAGTGGGCACTGAAAAAAATAAAAGTGCTAAGTGGTTACTAAAATTTATAATAAAATAGTAAAAGAAAAAACGGATAAACCCATCCTTTGCATGAGTCAAGCAATTTTAGATTAAATTAAAACTAAGGTGATAGATAGATCACACCATTTAAATTACTCTATTTAGAAACCCTAATCTTTGGTGCATGGATAAGTTCAAGGTTATTTGAAGCATCTTCTATTTCCTTTGAATTAATTTACTCATGAGACATGAAAAATCAACTGGTATAAAACTGATTCAATTTAACTAGAGATTGGAGTATTGAATATTGATCTATTAAAAAAAAAAAACATGAGTGTGGAATTTTGTCCTTATTATTTCTACCCCTCCCCTTTATTTTAAAAAGAAGAAGAAAATACATTGAAGTTTCTGAAAATTATTATAGTTAAACTTTGTAAACAATGTAGTAACCAAGTTATAAGGCTATGTTTGAGACACGTATAACTATAAGGTTGTCACCAAATAAGGACCACAGCCAATGTGATTCTTTGGTTTAGGGCACAAACCCAACGAAAGTAAGACATTGTAGGTATCTTCATTATCAAAGACTACTCCACGCCCTACAAGGCTATGTTTGAGAAATTTGTAGGATTTTTCACCAAATAGGGACACAAATAATGTAGAAAAGCTACAATCTTTAACAAAAATCACAAACAATAAATTTCATTGGAGTTTTCAATTTTTCTTTTTTATTCCTTGTGTTTTACTTTATTTGTCACCTTAAAAGATTCAAGGGCAAACAACATTATGATTTACTTCTAAAACAGGTTTTTTGAAAATATGATACATAAGTGTTAGGATCGAGCGCTTACCACTAGGCCAAAAGCTATAGCCATTAGTCAGAGCGCAACTCTTTTTACTTTAACAGCCCAAGCGCCACGATTCAATTGTGACTCGGCCCACCTGACCTTCGTCACAGGACAATTGATGCTACCTGCAACAATCTCCCCCTCAGCAATTGTCCTACAAGGTATCCCACTCTTGGATTGTGACTTGGCCCACCGGCCTCTGCCACGGGACAATTGTGCAACCTGCAACAATCTCCCCTCAACAATTGCCCACCAGGAATCGAACTCGTGACCTTGGCTCGATACCAATTGTTAGGATCGAGCGCTTACCACTAGGCCAAAAGCTATAGCCATTAGTCGAGCGCAACTCTTTTTACTTTAACAGCCCAAGCGCCACGATTCAATTGTGACTCGGCCCACCTGACCTTCGTCACAGGACAATTGATGCTACCTGCAACAATCTCCCCCTCGGCAATTGTCCTACAAGGTATCCCACTCTTGGATTGTGACTTGGCCCACCGGCCTCTGCCACGGGACAATTGTGCAACCTGCAACAATCTCCCCTCAACAATTGCCCACCAGGAATCAAACTCGTGACCTTGGCTCGATACCAATTGTTAGGATCGAGCGCTTACCACTAGGCCAAAAGCTATAGCCATTAGTCAGAGCGCAACTCTTTTTACTTTAACAGCCCAAGCGCCACGATTCAATTGTGACTTGGCCCACCTGACCTTCGTCACAGGACAATTAAAGTAAAAAGAGTTGCGCTCTGACTAATGGTTATAGCTTTTGGCCTAGTGGTAAGCGCTCGATCCTAACAATTGGTATCAGAGCCAAGGTCACGAGTTCGATTCCTGGTGGGCAATTGTTGAGGGGAGATTGTTGCAGGTTGCACAATTGTCCCGTGCAGAGCCGGTGAGCCAAGTCACAATCCAAGAGTGGGATACCTAGTAGGACAATCGCTGAGGGAGATTGTTGCATGTAGCATCAATTGTCCTGTGACGAAGGTCGAGTGGCCGAGTCACAATTGAATCGTGGCGCTAGTGCTAAAGTAAAAGAGTTGCGCTTCGACTAATGACTATAGCTTTTGGCCTAGTGATAAGCGCTCGATCCTAACAATAAGTGCATGCACATTTTTTTCCCAACCCAAATGACATTTGTTGTTGTCATTCATAATGGATATGTGAGAAAATATAACTTAAATATGATTAATTATGTAAAATGAGAGAATTTTTATTTTGGTCTCTATATATTTTTTCTCTAAAATTTGAAATTATTCCTAACATTCATTTTAAGTTAGATAAATAATATTTATTTAGGAATTTAAAAACTAAGTGCTATTTAATCATTCTCGAAAATATTTAAAATGCCATTTGATTTTATTTATTTAATATATGTATGTAATTAGTGAATGTTACATAATATTAAAACTTTAAATAAAACAAGTGTAATTTTAAAGAAATGAAAAAAAAAGTTACAAGATTAAAATAGAAGTTCATTGTGTAATAAAAAAAATTGCAAGATACAACTCATCAAGTAGAGTTCATGCATTGTTGGCATGTAAAAGCTACCTTTCATGAACACTACACTCAATGCAACGTAATCTGAAAAGAAAATTATTGAAATATGTGATTGATTTATTTCATTGACTAGTAAAACATAAGAATATTTAATTTTTCAATTTTAGAAAATCACATATATATGCTAATGTTAATTAATATTTGACATTCCAACTTACCGATAATTTGTTACAAATTAATATTATTTGATTATGAATTCAAAGATACGACACAACTTTATGATATTAATAATATATGACTAATTAGATGTAAATCATTTGTAATATAGTGTATTTTATGGAAAGTTTGTAATG